CCAGAGCGCGATTCGCATCGCGAACAAACCTGGCTTCGTTAACCGCACCAAGCACATTGCGCTGCGGTACTTCTTCGTGAAGGACGAAATAGACAAAGGCAAGGTCAACTTGACCTACTGCCCAACAGGTGACATGGCAGCAGACTTCCTCACGAAGCGACTGCCACGCCAGCAGTATCAGCACTACTCCGAACTCAGCGGCGTGGTCAGGCAGGTCAAGCTAAGCTACGTCCAGGAGTGAAGGGGGGTGTTACGAATAGTAATATTCGATATTACTAAATAGTCCTCACCGTAGCAAGGTACGCACAATATCGGGAACGAACGCTAGCGTCAGACGGTTGGAATTGAGTCAAAGAGTCGGACGGTTACAGCACATCTGAACCGTCGGAAGCAAACGGCATCGGACAACTACAGGCAGGATGGTTTTGGCGGGAACAGTTACGAAACTGTACGCGCCGAACGGTTGGGATGCATTTGAATAAGGGAATGTACCCCTTAGAGTACATGGCTAGTTAGGTCGTTTCGAATTCCCTCGTACTCATATTTATATCGCTGTATTTGCATGTTTTCATCATCTCAAGCATCTTACATTCACTCTGCTATTGAGATCAAGGGCCCACCAACACTACCCACTGTGTGCGAACCTACCAGAGTAGATCCTGGGTTACGATCAACTTCTGATCGCAACAATATCAGAAACAGCAATACCACGAGCAAGCAGCGTCCCCAAGCGTGGCGGCGGGGGAGCGGAGGGGCCGTGGTGCAAGCGGTAGAGGTCGTCGAGACGACTGAAGCAGCGTGCAGCAGAGTGGTCGGGGTGGCCATAGTACGAGTCCCGATGAGGACCCGTAAGGATCCAGTACTCACAGGGACCAATGTCCCGGCCGGCCGAGCGCGGTCCCCGACCGGAGGGGGCGCCACTGGGCCCAGTGCTCGAGGGACCCTCAGACCTCCACTGCTGAGGGCCCCACTGCTGCGGCGGGCCCCACTGCTGAGGCCGCTGCAGTGGCGGGCGCTGCTGCTGCTATCCCTACCGCTGCTGCTGTCCAGGCGGTGGCAGCTGCTGAGAATTCGGCTGCTGTTGCTGCTGCTGGAACCCCTCACCACCAGTGAAAACTCCACCGTCGAGAGGAAGGCCGTCAGGGCCCGGGCCACCCCCACCACCACTCCCACCACCTGCCGCACTGCTGCCGCCACAACCCGCACCACCCCAAGTACCCCCGCCGCCCTTCCCGCCCTCTTGCCGGCCTTGCCACGTTTCTGTCTGCCAGAGACAGAAACAGCCGCCGTCTCCTCAGAGGCAGAAGACGTGGGGGTGGCAAGTGAGGTAGTGAAGGTGGGAAGCTGTGGTACCGCACACCCCTAAAAAAGATGGAGGCGCGGAAGAGGTAGAGGCAACAGTAAGGAGGTTACTCTCGATCTTCGAGAGAGCGGTCTCAAGAAGGTCGATGGTAAGCTCAGTGGGGTGCTTCAGAAGAAGCGTGTCGCAGGCTGTGGCTAGACGGTCAGGGAGGCGAGTGACTAGCCAGTGAATAGTGAGCCACATAGGGGGTGGGGTAAGGGCAAGCTGGTCCTCAGTGCAAGCAGCGCGAAAGCGAGCGTCAAGAGAGCGCAGATGGGTAGCGATGTCAGAGACAGTCTCAAAGGAGGCGAGGTCAGGGTAGATAAAGGGTACGAGGAGGCAACTGAGCGAAGCAGAGGAGGGAGTGGAGTAGCGAGCAACAATAGCCTTATGCAGATTTGCAGCAGACTCGACCTGAGCGAAGTGGACTGCCTCTGTCGGCGGGAGAAGGTCGGTCAGGGCGAGGCAGGCAGCGGCGTCACGAGACTCCCACACGTCACGAGCGAGGAGCTATCGCTGGTAGTCGGCCTCCTGCTCAGAAGTAGGCGGTAGGGTAGTGGGCAGCGGCCGAGGCTGCAGAGGGGCGGCCAGAGTGCCGGACGTGTGTGCAAACAGGTGCACGCCATTCTGCCGCTGGCTCTTAAGGTGGCGCTGCACCTGCGTAAGCCACGTACTAAAGTCAATAGGTCTCCCCTCAGGGTCAAAACGAAGTACTCGGGAGGTCGCCATAGGGGGCGAAACTGAGAGAGCGCGGCTGCCACCCGCGCGAGCGGGGAGACAGTCAGTAACGTGTGGGCAGGCGGGGAGGCATGTAGGTGGGTAGGTGGACGGCGCAGTGCGCTGGCTGGTGGGCGGCGCCGTGCACTGGCTGGTGGGCGGTGCGGCGCGCTATGGGGCGTGCGGCGCGGCGTACTGGGTGGCGAGCGGCGCGGCGGGTCGACGGGCGGGCTGCGCAGCTGGTTGATGGGCGGGCGACGTGGCGCGCAGGCCTATGGGCGGCGCGGCGGGTCGACGGGCGGACTGTGCAGCTGGTCGACGGGCAGGCGACGCGGCGCGCGGGCCTACGGGCGGCGCGGCGGGTCGACGGGCGGGCTGCGCGGCGAGGCGACGGGCGGGCCGACGGGCAGGCTAGGCGACGGGCGGACCTACGGGCGGGATGGGCGACGGGCGGGCTAGGCGACGGGCGGGCCTACGGGCGGGATAGGCGGCGGGCAGGCCTACGGGCGGGCGAGGCGACGAGCGGGCCTATGGCCGGGCTGCGCGGCTAGGCAACGCGACACGCGGGCCTACGGGCGGGTGGCACGGTGGCTAGGGGACGGGCCGTGCTGCAGGTCGACCGGCGGCGTGGCGCGTTAGGGGGTAGCTGGCTGGCGGCTTAGGGCTTAGCGCGCTAGCGCGCTGGCGTGTCTGGCAAGCTAGGGAAGGAACTAAACCCTAAACCTAGGGCCTATGAGCGAGGAACCTAGCTGATACCATCTCAGTAAGCATCGCGGAATGAGTTGCATTGGATGGATTGGGGTGCATATTCCTGCCTCTAACTGTTTGTACCCCCTACTGCACAACCCACTATTGGCTAGAATACTTGACACAAACAAGTAGGACATAACATAAATGTCTTGCAACAGAGTTGAAGCTTTTAGCGCGTGTTTCTATGGCCCCTTATTAGGGCAACCTCTTACCAGGCTCGCGTAAAAATACACTGAATTTTCCCAAAAACGAAAATCTTGGCAATTTTTACCAGGCAATCCTGACAAGAGGTTTGCCTGATAAGAGCGTAGGAACATGCTTTTAGCACATTTTGTAATATCCTATTGTACTAGGTAGCCAATATCAAAGCAGTTTAAGTGCTAGCTCTTTTTAATTCCAGCCGGATGGTCGAATGGTAACATTTTCGTGAAAGTCTTGATTGTTCTGAGCCACGTGTCGTGGAGTTTCAGGCTCACCCCACCCCTAACGAATTTCAGCTCAAGCGATTTGTGGATATGGGAGTTGTGGAAATAGGTGGCGAGTAATCACGCATGATGAGGTGGACGGATGGGGCGATCAACCGCCTCACAAGCCATATGGTCCATGATATCCGAAAGGAATCATTCCTTCCGAATGTGACGCCATGGTTCGATACGATACTGCATTCCCATCAAACTGAACATCCACCCTTGAATTGATCTGGTTTGAAGCTTCTCGTCGTGTCTGTCGATCTGTTTGTTTTCTGTGGGTCATTTACCCTGGAACGTTTTCAAAGGAAGCAGGTTTGACTCGGGAGTATTGGAAAACGAAAGAAAAGAGTGCTCTTATGGTGATTTCGCCCAGATACCTGAACTTTCTGGTAGTAAAGAACTTCCAGCTTGAGTGGATACTGTACCAGAAGACTCCAGTCGAGAAAGTCGAGAGAACGAGAGAGATCCTCTCCCCTCCTTCCGATCTTCCGATCTTATGCTGTCCGTCTTTTTCGATGTCTCCCTTGGTGTTCGTTGGTGGCTGTGGACCGTACAGATGATGCCCAGCCCATGCTCGCGTATTTGTTCTGTACCGGATGGAAACGCTGCACCCGAGGTTTTTTCCCCAGCCTGTTGCACCCTTGGTACAAGCGCGTCGCGGGGTTATGAACCAATTGTAACGAACAGACCGAACTCAAACTGAAGAGACTGAAGTCAAAATGTCAACGAAGAAAGTTACAGATCCTTTATATAAGCACCTGCGAATCCTTTTTAACTAGCTGCGAATTGACGAAACTTATGCGAAATTCAAGATACACTTTATACGCCCCCTTCACAAGGCAACCGGGAGGGGCTCAATCGGGCATCAGTTTGTAGTTGCAAACACGCGTGACGCGCCTCGGTTTTATCCTCATTGTTCCTCCTCCTAGCCGTTGGTTCCTTCCGCTTCTGCTGCTTCTTTTCACAGTCCCGTAGCTTCTTTCTGATTTTGATTGAATTTCTCGCACCCATTTTGGAAATCATTGTTTTAGGGCACTGTACGCCTGCACACTCAGTGCCCATATTTGTAGCTAGAGGACTGCTGCTGATTTAGCAGCCAAGAAATCCAGACTGGGAAGAACGTGCGGTTGCTCATTGCTTCGAGCGACGTTGTAGGCTAGGCTCTGCGAACGGCAAGGAGGATTCGTTGTTCTTTGCCGCCCCTACTGTGATCGCTGATCCGTCGAATCAAATACGTGTAGCTGAAAACCTTATCTCTTATGGCTGTCGATCGCACGTTCGGCTGCATGGCTTTTAACATATCTAATAAATATCGCGAAAGACCTTCTTATCTGGATCGTTAGAACAAGCGTAACCCGAATCTTCCACCTTGCTTCAATTTGCCTGGGAGCGACGTTTTTTCATCACCAGATGCTATTATTTCTTCTTCTTTCCGGCTTTTTTCATCAGCAGACACTACCGCTCAGTGTGCACAGACACAGACACGCGCCTGTCCGCCACGCATAACCAGGGTACAAATAGACCACGTTAATGTTATCAGCTTAAAGGCGCTTGGAGTCAGTGCATTGGCTTAGAACGCAGCGGTCTCCGAAGACCAACGAACGCGTCGGTCTCCGATAGCCGCGTCGGCCTCCAAAAGACGCGTCGCCCTCCGGAAGAAGCGTCGCCCTCCGGAAGCCGCGTCGCCCTCCGAAAGCCGCGTCGGCGTCGCCGCAGGAACGATGTTTAACCGCGGGAGGAAGATCGTGACCAAGGTAGTGGTGAGCGCGGATGCGGAACTACAGCAGCGGTTCGAGGAGAAGGAGCGGGAGAAGCGGAGGGAGAAGGAGAAGGAGAAGGACCGAGAGAAGCCAGGCCCCCGGCCGTCGGAGTGGGATTATTTGACGACCGTCGTGCAGCAGAACCGCGTCGCGCAGCGAAAGGTGCGTCGCGGTAGGAAAGGACCAAACGTGTGCACCGAATAACGGGGAAGTGTAGGCCGAAAGGGAAGCATTGACCCTCGGAAAGGGGGGACGACCGTCCGAGTGGGACTATTTGACGACCGTCGTGCAGCAGAACCGCGTCGCGCAGCGGAAGGTGCGTTGCGAGTAAGGGGGAGATATTAGAAGGGGCAAATGGACGAAACGGACGCATTGACCCGTTTTTTTTGACGCCTCAAATAGTTACCCCTGACTTATTGGGACGACAATTGACGGAACGGGAACGGCCGACGAAATCAGAACCGGCTGACGGGATAAGAACGGTTGGCGGAATGGGAACGGCTGACGGGAATGGGAACGGCTGACGGAACGGGGACGGCTGACGGAATGGGGACGGCTGACGGAATGGTGACGGCTGACGGAATGGGAACGGGCTGACGGAATAGGGACGGCTGACGGAATGGGGACGACTGACGGAATGAGAACGGCGGAAGCTTACTGAGGCGCGCGGGACGGCGGAGCGTGTGACGAGCGCGCAATGTACGGCGTCGGCCACGAGCGCAATGTGCGACGAACGCGCAAACCAACGCTATCAACCCTCCACCCCTCTTGCGCCGCCCTCTCCCTTCCTCCCCCATCCCCCTCTCCCCTTCCCCCCATCTCCCCCCACAAACCCTTTTCAATCTTCCCCCTATCCGCTCCCATTTCCCCCTTCCCCCCATCCGTCCCCCGACCTCCCCGCAGCTCCAGGCGATTGCGGGGGCGGAATCGTCTCCCGCAGCCGCATCAACAGCCGCCGCCGCGCCTTCAGCTGCGCCTGCAGGGGGGGAGGCGGAAGCGGAGGATCAATCCAACGGTGGAGATGTGCAGTCGTACATGCAGCACGCTCAACGGCCAGGATACGTCCAACAGCACGGCTCTCTGCTGTTCCTGGAAGAAAGGAGCTACAGAATCCTGGCTGTAGCGGAAAATATCTTTGACTTTTTTGACCAGCCAGATCGGGGGAATGGGGAGAAGAAGGCGGGAGAGGAGAGGGAAGAGGAGACGGAGGAGGGGAATGGGGAGGGAGGGAGGGAAAAAGCGGAAGGAGGAGGGGGGAAGGGCGGGGCCGTGAGGAGTCTGCTGGGCCAATCATGTCGCTGCTTGATGACAGAGCAGGTAAGACTGCTAAAAAAACGACATTTTCTTAAACAGCCTCCTCGCCCTGCCACTTCCTTACCCGCTTCTCCCTTCCCTCTTTGCATTAGATGGTCTCCTGCCTGGTCAGAATGTATTTTTGAGGCGCCTCGAAAATTAACTCCTGCCTGGTCAGAATGTAAAGTTTACGAGCGCCCCCTTCTACTCTACCCCTTCGGAAAGAAATTGATTGTTTTTGAGTCAACTAAAAAACAATTCAGGAGACGCTCTCTTCCCTGCCCGCTTTTGAGGCGCCTGAAAAAGTACTCTCCTCCCTGCTCATAATGTACAGTTTCTGCTACGAGCCTTATTTTGAGGCCCCTCAAAATACATCTTAATTCAGCACGCTCTAATCCCTGCTCACAATGTGCAGTCTCCGTCACGAGCCTATTCTGTCTCCCTTGGTTTTGAGTCGACTCAAAACTAGGCTCAAAGCTTGAGTCGACTCGAAACAATTCAGCAGACGCTCTCCTCCCTGCTCACGATGTAGTGTTTCCGCTATGAGCCTATTCTGTCCCCCTTACCCTTTCCCCCACCCCTTTCTACCTCTTCTCAACAGGCGTTTTCCTGCCTGGTGGCTGCGTGTAGGGTTCAGATCCGCAGCTGTCGAACCCATCCCCACCCACCCCACCCCATCCCCACCCACCCCACCCCACCCCACCCCACCCCACTCCACCCATCCCCACCCCTTTCTTCACCTTCTCAACAGACGTTTGCCTGCCTGGTGGCGGCGTGTGAGAGCTCGGATCCGCAGCTGTCGAACCCCATCCTGCTCAAGACAGTGCGACGAGGTGAGAGGGAGGGAGGTGAGATAGAGGGAGGCGGGAGGGAGTGAGGAGGCGAGGAGAGGTTGAGAGGGAGGTAAGCTCGGATCCGCAGCTGTCGAACCCCATTCCGATCAAGACGGTTCGAGGGAGGGAGGTGAGTGAGCAAGGGGGGTGAGTGAGTGAGTGAGTGAATGAATGAGGGAGGTGAGTGAGTGACTGAGTGAGCGAGTGAGTGAGTGAGGGAAGGAGGTGATTGAGTGAAGGATTTGGCCACGTGAAAAAAGGAGTGTTTTGAGACGTCTCAAAACACTCCTTTTTTTGAGTGAAGGATTTGGAACTGGCAAGCCCTTTTCTGATGAAAATAATTATCCGTGCGTGGGATGGGAGGAGAGGAAGAGAAAAGGAGTGCACCCACTCCCTTCACTTCCACCTCCCCGCCTCAGCCCTCCCCTTCCACCCGGCCCACCCTCCCCCTCCCCCCGCGGTCCACCCTCCCCTTCCCCTCCCCCCGTGGCCCACCCTCCCCCTCCCCCCGCGGCCCACCCTCCCCCTCCCCCCGCGGTCCACCCTCCCCCTCCCCTCCCCCTGCGGCCCACCCTCCGCCTCCCCACCCCATTATCGCACTGACGAGGGCCTGGTGGTTGACTTAGAGCCGTGCATGGGAGGGGAGGAGTGGGCAATTATGTGACAGGCACTAGAGCGTCGTTTCCTCTTCATCTTCCCCCCCCTCACCTCCCCCTTTCCACCCCCCGCTTCCCCCATCCTCTCCTCCCACAGCGCGCCCCCTGTATGCCATAGTGCATCACACTGACGAGGGCCTGGTGGTTGACATAGAGCCGTGCGTGGGAGGGGGGAGCGGAGGGAGGAGGAGTGGACTGTCACGGTCTTGTGGCATGCCCGGCACTAGAGTGTCGTTTCCCTTTTATGTTCCGTCCCCCCCCTTGTCTTCCTCACCCCCCATCAGCCCACCCCCTGTACGCCATAGTGCATCGCACTGACGAGGGCCTGGTGGTTGACATAGAGCCGTGCGTGGGAGGGGAGGAGTGGGCTGGGAGGTGGAAGAAGAAGAAGAAGGGAGGGAAGGCGGCGGCACGTGCGAGTGAGGCACGAGGGAAAGTCGAGGTGGGGAGTGTGGGGGAATCAGGAGGAAAGGCAGGTAGCGGTATAGAGGATGCGTCTGGAAAGGGTGGGGAGGGGAAGGACGGAGTAGTTTCGTGGAGGTGTTTGAATGGGTATGCGCAGGGTGGTGGTGGAGATGAGAGCTGTCAGAAGGAAGGGGAGAAGCCGGAGAAAGGAGAGGAGGAAGAGAAGAAAGGGGAGAAGGAGGAGAAGGGAGGGGAAGAGGAAGAGGAAGAGAAGCAAGGGGAGGAGGGAAAGAAAGGGGAGGAGAAGGAACAGGATGAGGAGGAGGAAGAGGAGGAGGAGGAAGAGGAGGAGGTCGTCGATATGTCGATGCTGGAGTGGTCAGCTCTGGACAAGCACGAGAGGACGAGTGCGAGTATTGCCAAGCTGCAAGACATCGATGACGACATGCCTAAGCTGTGCAACACGCTTGTGCAGGTGAGTGGGACAGGGAGAAAAGGGAGGAGAGACATGGTAGGTTGAGAGAGAGTGCGCATTGCCAAGCTGCAGGACATTGTCTCCACACCTCCACCTCCACACCTCCCCCTCCACACCTCCCCCTCCACACCTCCCCCTCCACACCTCCCCCTCCACACCTCCCCCTCCACACCTCCCCCTCCACACCTCCCCCTCCACACCTCCCCCTCCACACCTCCCCCTCCACACCTCCCCCTCCACACCTCCCCCTCCACACCTCCACCTCCACACCTCCCCCTCCACACCTCCCCCTCCACACCTCCCCCTCCACACCTCCCCCTCCACACCTCCCCCTCCACACCTCCCCCTCCACACCTCCCCCTCCACACCTCCCCCTCCACACCTCCCCCTCCACACCTCCCCCTCCACACCTCCCCCTCCACACCTCCCCCTCCACACCTCCCCCTCCACACCTCCCCCTCCACACCTCCCCCTCCACACCTCCCCCTCCACACCTCCCCCTCCACACCTCCCCCTCCACACCTCCCCCTCCACACCTCCCCCTCCACACCTCCCCCTCCACACCTCCACCTCCACACCTCCCCCTCCTGCTTTTCCCTTCCCGCTTTCCCTCTCCCCTTCCTCCTCCACGCCTCCGCCTCGCCCCACTCTTACCCCTCTCTCAGGAATTGCGAGAGCTGGCAGGGCATGACCGCATGCTGCTGTACCGATCATTAAATCCCTTCCTCCTCCCCCTCTCTCCCCCTTCTCTTCCACACCCTCTTCTTCAACGCTCCTGCCTGCCCTGAATCAGGAATTGCGGGAGCTGGCAGGGTACGACCGCGTTCTGCTGTACCAGTTCCATGAGGACCTGCACGGGGAGGTGCGTGGGGCATATTTGACGACAGGTGGGGTGGAAAAGAGGATTGAAATGGTTGAAATGAGCTGGCAGGGTATGACCGCGTGCTGCTGTACCGGTTCCATGAAGACCTGCACGGGGAGGTGCGTGGGTGGGGGGGCCTTGTGTGTCATCTTGCACAGGGGTGGAAATGAGAAGGGAGGATGTGGAGGGTATGACCGCGTGCTGCTGTACCGGTTCCATGAGGACCTGCGCGGGGAGGTGCGTGGGAAAGAGGGGGGAAGGAGGGGGGTCGCTCTGGAGAGAGATGGTTGGGTGGGTGGGAAGAGGATGGGCCGAGAGAGCTGGCAGGCAGGGTATGACCGCGTGCTGCTGTATCGATTCCATGTGGACCTGCACGGGGAGGTGCGTGGGTGGGGGGGGTGGTTGGGAGTGGGGGGAAGGAGGAAGGAGAGTGGAGGTCCGGCTGGCTGGCTGGCTGGTTGGTTGGTTGGTTGGTTGGTTGGTTGGTTGGTTGGTTGGTTGGTTGGTTGGTTGGTTGGTTGGTTGGTTGGTTGGTTGGTTGGTTGGTTGGTTGGTTGGTTGGTTGGTTGGTAGGGAGGGAGGGAGTGAGAGTTGGCAGGGTATGACCGAGTGCTGCTGTATCGATTCCTCGAAGACCTGCATGGGGAGGTACGTGGGTGTAGGGGGGTGGGGAGGGGAGGGGGAAGGGGAGGGAAGGGGAGGGAAGGGTAGGGAAGGGTAGGGAAGGGTAGGGAAGGGTAGGGGAGCAGAGGCCAAGTCGGAGGCACAGATACCTTGAATTCTGTCCCCTTCCCTTCCCCTTCCCTTTGCCCCTTCCCTTCCCCTTCCCTTTGCCCCTTCCCTTCCCCTTCCCTTTGCCTCTTCCCTTTGCCCCTTCCCTTCCCCTTCCCTTTGCCTCTTCCCTTTGCCCCTTCCCTTTGCCCCTTCCCTTCCCCTTCCCTTTGCCCCTTCCCTTTGCCCCTTCCCTTTGCCCCTTCCCTTTGCCCCTTCTCTTCTCCCTGTCTCCTCCCTTCTCTCCCTCCCCCCCCTCCCCCTCTTCTCTTGATCCTGTCTTCTCCTTTCTCTCCCCCTCTCATCCCACCTCTCTCTCTCCCCAGGTCGTGGCAGAGGCCAAGTCAGAGGCTCAGGCGTCTTGATCTCTCTTCTGTTGCTCTTCCTTTCATTCCTCCCTGTCTTTGTCGGAAACCAGTGTTCCTCCTCCTGCTTCCTTCTCTCATGTCTCTGCTCTCTTCTCTTCTTACCTTCATTCATGCCCCTTTTCTGTTCTTAATCCCTCCCCTTGTCCTCAGCCAGTACCAGAAAGATTCTGGCTCCCACACGATGGCTGCCCTTAGTGGCCTAGTCACCTAGCTGCTGTAGCGTTAGAACGGCAACGTAAATCCACTATTTTAGGCAAACAAACGAGAGAACGGATTTGTCTGTGCTAGGCTAGGCTACTTATTGTCCTTCCCAAGTCGTGATTTGCTCGACAGACTGGGTTAGGTTCGAGTCGCCGAGGCCTTGGATTGGCCAATGCCGATTTCCTGTCCCTCGAGGCTCCCTGAGCTCCTCTTACTGCACTTCGCAATTCCCACTGCTACCAACTTCGCGTTACTCCCCTGGACCCTAACAACCCCCCTTGGCAATGTTACATAACCCACTTGTACACCACTCTACACCATACTAGCGTACGTAACTGAATATATTGTTCTTACCAATAGATTCTGTGACATCTTATCTCTCCTCCCTCCGACCCCTCCCCTCCAACCCTTCTCCCCCTTCCCTTTCTCGCCAGGTCGTGGCTGAGGCCAAAGCAGAGGCTCAGGCGTCCCTGCTTCCTCCTTCTCCAGTGTCCCCTCCCATCCCTCTCCCAATCCCTTTCTCTTCCGCCTCCCCCCCACACACACCCCTCTCTCCCCCTTCCCTTTCTCGCCACCCCAGGTCGTGGCAGAGGCCAAAGCAGAGGCTCAGGCGTCTCTGTTGGGGCTGCACTACCCTGCGACTGATTGCCCTCAGGTGAAGTGCGGTGAAGTGTGGTCAAGTGCGGTTGTGCATACTGTGAACACTCTCAGGTGAAATGCGGTTACGTGAAGTGCGGTGAAGTGCGGTGAACTAGCCATCACATATACAGACATTTATTCGCTTCTTTCTTACCTTCCCAAATTGCTTGTTTGATTTATAACGTGACATAATTATCCCATCTTCTCTCAAGTGCACCCCCACATCCGTCGCAGATCTACCGTACGATGTTTGTAGATATGCGGCTGAGATTGATCGCAGACGTCGCGGCACCAGACGTGCACATCATCCAGCACCCCTCCCTCGTCAAGAACATCAGCCTCTCCAAGTCAACGCTCAAGGGTGAGTCAACTCTAGTCAACGCAAGTCAACTCTGAAAGGTGCTCCTGATGTGACGTGCACATCATCCAGCACCCCTCCCTCGGCAAGAACATCAGCCTTTCCAAGTCGACGCTCAAGGGTGAGTGAGTCAACGCAAGTCAGCACAAGTCAACGCGAGTCATTACAAGTGTTGAGAGGTTGTTCAAGTGCCAGACGTGCACATCATCCAGCATCCCTCCCTCAGCAAGAACATCAGCCTTTCCAAATCCACACTCAAAGGTGCGTGTGAGTCAGCACAAGTCAACGCAAGTCAATGCAAGTGCTGAGATGTCTGGAAGTTGTTGCGGCGCCCGATGTGCACATCACCCAGCATCCCACCCTCAGCAAGAACAAAGTTACTTTTGAGTCGACTCAAAAGTCAGCACAAGTCAACGCAAGTCAATGCAAGCGTTGAGATATCTGGAAGTTGTCGCGGCGCCAGACGTGCACATCATCCAGCACCCCTCCCTCAGCAAGAACATCAGCCTTTCCAAGTCCACACTGAAAGGTGAGTGAGTCAACACAAGTCAACGAACTTCAATGCGAGTCAACAAACTTCAATGCAAGAGAATTCTCAGGGGCGAGTGAATGCAAGCCAACGCTCAAGCATGGGTAAACTTGAGTCAATGCAAGTCAACGCGAGTCAACGCCCCCTTCCTCCGTCTTCCCCACCAGGCGTGTCCAGCTGTCACAAGGAGTACTGTGCCAACATCGGCATCGGCGCGTCTCTAGTGATGGTGATTGTGGTAACCACGCAGGGCCCTCAGAGCACCAGTCAACACGAGTCAAGACGAGTGAACACGAGTCAATGCAACACGAGTCAATGCACAAGTCAACCCAGGTCAACGCCCTTCTCTCCCCCCCACCAGGCGTGTCCAGCTGTCACAAGGAGTACTGCGCAAACATCGGCATCGGGGCGTCACTAGTCATGGCGATAGTGGTAACCACACGGGGCCCGCAGAGCACCAGTGTGCGCAAGCTGTGGGGGCTGGTGGTATGCCACCACATGGCGCCGCGCTTCCTCCCCTACCCACAGCGGTTCGCCTGTGACTTCCTGCTGCAGGTGGGTGAATGGGTGGGTGAATGGGTGAATGGGTGGGTGGGTACGTGAATGGCTGTGGGGGCCTGCCCTACCCGCAGCGGTTCGCCTGCGACTTCCTGCTTCAGGTGGGTGGGTGAATGGGTGGTGGTTGGGTGGGTGGGCCTCTTTCCTTCCAAACGGTCCTTTCTCCTCTTCGTTCCGGTGAAATGGCCCAGGTGGTAACCACACAGGGCCCTCACAGCACCAGGGAGCAGCAAGCTGTGGGGGCTGGTGTGGTGGTATGCCACCACATGTCGCCTCGCTTCCTGCCCTATCCCCAGCGATTCGCCTGCGACTTTCTCTTACAGGTGGGTGGGTGGGTTGGTTGGTGGGTTGGGTTCGCTCAACAGATGCTGTGGCTTGTCATTATTGAAGTGCCATGAAAAGCACTCCCTCTTCAGCCCCCCCATCACCTCTCTGCTCTTCTCCATTTTTTAGGCGCCTCGAAAATCGCCTCAAAAGGAGCCTCAAAAAGCACTCCCTCTCATCAGCCCCCGCATCACTTCTCTGCTCTTCTCCATCTTCCTCCCCATCTCCCCTTTTGAGGAGCCTCAAAAGTAGCACTTCCTTCCTCATCAACCTCCGCATCATTTCTCTGCAATTCTCCATCTTCCTCCCCATCTCCCCTTTTGAGGAGCCTCAAAAGTAGCGCACCCTCATCAACCCCCGCATCACTTCTCTGCTCTTCTCCATCTTCCTCCCCATCGCCCCCATCGTCAGGCCTTCGCCCTGCAGTTAGCCATGGAGCTGGAGCCAGCAGAGCATGCAGCGGAGCGACTCACTTGTCTCACCATCTCCACCCTTCCTCATCCCCTCCCCCACCATCTCCACCCCTTCTCATCCCCTCCCCCACCATCTCCAGCCATGGAGCTTGAGGCGGCAGAGTGCTTCGCTTTCAACTCAACTCTCCCTATCCACCTCACCTCCCCCCATATATCCCCTCCATCTCAACAGGCCTTCGCCCTGCAGCTAGCCATGGAGTTAGAGGCGGCAGAGCATGCAGCGGAGCAACTCATTGAACTCCCTCAACCGTACCCCATCCATCTCTCTCCTCCCCGTATCCATCTCATCGTCTTACCAGGCCTTCGCCCTGCAGCTAGCCATGGAGTTAGAGGCGGCAGAGCATGCAGCGGAGCGCCGCACGATGCAGATGCAGGCTATTCTGTGCGGCATGCTGTCCAGGGACGTACCTCTGGGGCTGGTGCGACAGAGCCCCAACATCAAAGACCTGGTGAGTCCATCCTTCCTTCCTTCCATGGCAAAAGGCACTGATGTTAGAAAAAATGGAGCAATGAACGATGCAGATGCAGGCGATTCTGTGTGGCATGCTGTCTAGGGACGTGCCTCTGGGGCTGGTGCGACAGAGCCCCAACATCAAAGACCTGGTGAGTCCATCCTTCAAAGCCACCTGACCTAGCATGCAGCAAGGCGACTAATGAGTCGACTCCGAAGCCACCTCGTAAGTGGGAAGGGTTCGGCTGGACCTAGCATGCAGCAGAGCGGCGCCTATTTTTGAGTCGACTCAAACCTAGCATGCAGCAGAGCGGCGCACAATGCAGATGCAGATGCAGATGCAGATGCAGATGCAGATCCACTCCCTCCCTCTTGCTCTCCCTCACTCCCTTCCTCCCTCACTCCCTCACTCCTTCACTCCCTCCCTCACTCCATCCCGCAATCCCTCCCTCACTCTCGCCGTCTCTCCCTCCCTCACTCACTCACTACCTCACTCTATCATTCCCTCCCTCCCTCCCTCCCTCCCCCCCCCCCCAGGTGCCATCGGACGGGGCGGTGCTGCTGCATGCGGGCAGGGCGTGGTAACCACAAGTCAACAGCAGTCAACACGAGTCAACGCCCTCACTCCCTCCCCCCCCCCCCCCCAGGTGCCATCGGACGGGGCGGTGCTGCTGCATGCGGGCAGGGCATGGTGGGTGGGGGCGTGCCCAGCAGAGGACGACATGAAGGAGATAGCGCGCTGGCTGCGCCTCAAAGACACCCACCTGCTGCAACACACCGTCTTTGTCACCAACTCTCTGGAACAAGCTGGGCTGCCCTTCGCGTCTCGCCTCGCCCCGGCTGTCTGCGGGCTCGCTGCTGCCATGGTGTCGAGCCGAGGAGACTTCCTCATGTGGTTCCGATCTGGTGAGCATTGAGGTTCAGGATATAGGGTTTCGGGTTTAGGGCGCCTCAAAGACACCCACCTGCTGCACCACACCGTCTTTGTCACAAATTCTCTGAAGCAAGCTGGGCTGCCCTTTGCTTCCCGCCTCGCCCCGGCTGTGTGCGGGCTGGCTGCTGCTATGGTGTCGAGCCGAGGAGATTTCCTCATGTGGTTCCGCTCAGGTGAGACTTTCTCCTGTGGTGAAAGTTTGAGAAGAATTTGCTGCGCTGGCTGCGACTCAAAGACACCTCCCTGCTGCAACACACCGTCTTTGTCACAAATTCTCTGGAGCAAGCTGGGCTGCCCTTTGCCTCCTGCCTCGCCCCAGCTGTGTGTGGGCTGGCTGCTGCTATCGTGTCAAGCCGAGGAGATTTCCTCATGTGGTTTCGGTCGGGTGAGGGTTCAGTTCAGGGTTTCGGGTTTCCGGTACAGTCTTTCCTCTCATTCCTTCCTTCGCCTCCCGCCTCGCCCCCGCGGTGTGTGGGCTGGCTGCTGCTATCGTGTCAAGCCGAGAAGTCTTCCTCATGTGGTTTCGGTCAGGTGAGGATTCAGTTCTGGGTTTCGGTTTCAGGTTTAGAATCCAGTCCTTTCCTATCCATTCTCACTTTGCCTCCCGCATCGCCCCGACTTTGTGCGGGTTGGCTGCTGCGATGGTGTCAAGCCGAGAAGACTTTCTCATGCGGTCTCAATATCATGTGAGCGGGGCACAAGGACAGCCACACAGTGAGGGGGGGCGCCACCATGCATTCCGTTGATGCCTTCTCCCTCTCCCCCTCTCCCCCTCTCCCCCTCTCGCCCTCTCCCCCTCTCCCCATCTCCCCATCTCCCCACCTCCCCACCTCCCCCGTGCTTTGGCAGGCATTGAGAGGAACATCACCTAGGCGGGGCACAAGGACTCGCACACAGTGAGAGAAGGCGCCACCATGCATCCGTATGATTCCTTCTCTCTCTCCCCCTCTCCCCACCTCCCCTGACCTGGCAGGCATTGAGAGGAACATTACTTGGGCGGGGCACAAGGACTCGCATACAGTGAGAGAGGGCGCCACCATGCATCCCCGCAACTCGTTTGCGGCGTATCTTGAAGTGGTGAAGCTGCAGAGCCAGCCCTGGACTGATGCTGAGGTGAGTGAATAATAGGGCACACAGCCACACAGAACCGCTCAGTACCACACAGAACTGCACACAGCCGCACACAGCCAACCACACAGTCGCACACAGGGAGTGCACCACCATGCATCCCTGTAAATGGTTTGCGGCTTACCTTGAAGTGGTGAAGCTGCAGAGCCAGCCCTGGACTGATGCTGAGGTGAGGAGAGATAGGGTTGAGCAGAGAGGGCACAGAATCGCACACAGCCACAGACAGCCGCTCAGAACCGCACAAAACCGCACAGAACTGCACACATCTGCAGAAAGGAGACAGCACCACGATGCAACTCCCTGCGACTCCCTGCTCACCTCGCCCCCCTGCTGGTCCTCTTCCCCATCTCTTGGAACCTGCTGATCCCCACCGCTGATGCTCTCCACCCCTTGGTACCTCTTTCTTTACCCCTCAAACCCCTTCCCACTCATCCCTATCCAAGGTGGACGCCATGCAAGGGCTGCGCCTCATAGTGAAGGACTCGCTTCCCCACCCTGAGCCTCAAGACCTGAAGCTCAAGATCCAGGTGCGCGTGGCACTGGCTTTTGAGTCGACTCAAAAGTCAAGACCTGAAGCTGAAGATCCAGGTGCGCGTGGCACTGGCTGTCTTTTAAGTCGTTGCTTTAGCCTCCAACCAGGTCTCAAAATCATTGTGCTGACACCACATACTTTTGAGAATTCTCAAAAGTGATTTCAAAGTCATTGTGCTGACACCACATACATGTATTCACTGGATGGTTGTGATGCTTGTGGTTAGGCTGTGCTGTGTGTAACTCCTCACCCCTCTGAACCTGACCAGACCCAGCTGAACGCAGAGCGCTTGACCAGCCAGTCCCAGTTGACAGAGGTTGTCCGCACGCTGGAGTCCCAGCTCAAGTCGGCCCACACGCCCACCATCGGACTGAACCACCCTTTTCCTCCTCTCTCCTCCTCTCTCCTCCTCTCTCCTCCTCTCCCCTCCCCTCCGTCTCCTCCTTGTCCCACCAGGCTCAGCTGAACGCGGAGCGTCTGACCATCCAGTCGCAGCTCAAAGAGGTCACACGTACACTAGAAAGCCAGCTAGAATCCGCCCACACGCCCATCATCGGCATCAGCAGCGACGGCACCGTCACCGAGTTCAACAGCAAGGCCGCCCACATCACCCTCTTGCTTGCCTCCTCCACCCTGCCTTGTGTCTCCCTACCTACCCCTCCTCTCCCCTCCTCTCCCCTCCTCTCCCCTCCTCTCCCCTCCTCTCCCCTCCTCTCCTGCTTTCGTTGCCTTTCCTTGACCCACCAGGCCCAGCTGAATGCAGAGCGGCTCACCATCCAGTCACAGCTCAAAGAGGTCGCCAAGACACTAGAAAACCAGCTCGAATCCGCCCACACGCCCATCATCGGCATCAGCAGCGACGGCACCGTTACCGAGTTCAACAGCAAGGCCGCCCACATCACGCGGCGGGCCAAGAGCGAGGTTCTCGGGAGCAACTTCTTTGCGAGCGTGCTGGCTCCCGAGTCTCATGCGCACTTTGTGGCTGCTATGGAGGTGCTGGCGGAAGGGGAGGACGTCCAGCCGTTTGATGTGGCTCTGCTGGCGCGGTCTGCTGATTCTGTTGATGCTGCCGCTGCTGCTGATGCTGCCGCCGCTGCTGCTGCCGCCGCCGCCGCTGCTGCTGCTGCTGCTGCTGCTGCTGCTGCTGCTGGTGGTAATGGAGCAGGTGGAGCAGGAGGAGGGGCAGGAGGAGGAGGAGGAGGAGGAGGAGGAGGAGGAGGAGGAAGGGGAGGAGGGGTGGTGGGGGAGTTGGATCGGTTGGTGCATGTGTTGGTGAGCGCGTATGGGCAGCACGACCGGCACGGGAACCTGATGAGCGTGCGGCTGATGGGTCAAGACATCACCGCGCTTAAAGTGCTGGCTGGGGAGGTGAGTAGGGGTGGATATCACTCACACACACAGGGCCATGGCAACCTGATGAGCGTGCGGCTGATGGGTCAACACATCACCGCGCTTAAAGTGCTGGCTGGGGAGGTGAGTAAGGGGGGAGGCGAGGGGATGAAGGGGGGAGCGGGAGGGGGATGGGCATGTGATGGTGAGATAAAGTCAAAGGGACACACACGCACAGTGACAGAGGCACACATGCACAGTGACAGGCACACACGCACAGTGACAGAGGCACACACGCACAGTGACAGAGGCACACACGCACAGAGGCGGCAACCGGCGGCTGGGTGTGCGAGTCATGGGGCATCACGTCACCGCGCTCAATGTGCTAAAGAGGTGACTTTTGAGTCGACTCACGAGTCACTGCGAGTCATGGGGCGTCACGCCACCGCGCTCAATGTGCTGGCAGGGGAGGTGAGAGAAGGGGGAGGGGAAAGGGAGGAGGGACACATAAAGAGACACACAGGTGAGCATACACACACCGACAGCAGACACACTGAGGTTACTTCCAAGGCAACCTCTTAGGCCCGGGCAGCTGTGGACCAATCGAATCATTCCTCTCCTTCCCCTTTTCTCCCCTATCCCTCCCCCTCCCCCTCCCCCTCCCCCTCCTCCTCCCCCTCCTTGCCCCTCTCTTCAGTACAAGATGCCCGAAGCGGAGGCTCGGGCAGCTGTGGACCAATCAGATCTCTTGGTTTTCACGGTGGACGAGTGCGGGCGGGTGACCGAATGGAATGCTGCCATGGAGCAGATCAGCGGGCTGCCCCGAGAAAAAGTTGTGGGGAGGCGACTTGTGGGGGAGGTGCTTAGCAGCAATCCCATGCTGCTCATTCCGGACCAGGTGAGAAACGGTGCTGCTGATTCCGACCAGGTGAGAAACGGTGCTGCTGATTCCGAGCAGGCGAACAATAGTGGTTGTTGTTCATTCCCGACCAGGTGAGAAGCGGTGCTGTTGGTTCCGACCAGGTGATTAACAATGTCTGTGGCTTGTGGGGGAGGTGGCTTGTGGGGGAGGTGCTTAGCAGCAACCCCATGCTGCTCATTCCTGACCAGGAATGTGGCTTGTGGGGCGTTTACGGGGAGGCAGCTTGTGGGGGAGGTGGCTTGTGGGGGAAGGTGGCTTTTGGGGGAGGTGGCTAGTGGGGGAGGTGGCTTGTGGGGGAAGGTGGCTTGTGGGATTAGTAGGTGCTGAGCAGCAATCCGATGCTGCTCATTCCGGACCATGTAAAAGTTCATTTTGAGGCGCCTCAAAATCCGTGTGTAGTGAGGTGCATTTTGAGGCGCCTCAAAAAGCAGCAATCCGATGCTGCTCATTCCGGACCATGTAAAGTTCATTTTGAGGCGCCTCAAAATCCGTGTGTAGTGAGGTGCATTTTGAGGCGCCTCAAAAAGCAGCATATTGATGCTGCTCATTCCGGACCAGGTAAAGTTCATTTTGAGGCGCCTCAAAATCCGTGTGTAGTGAGGTGCATTTTGAGGCGCCTCAAAAAGCAGCAATCCGATGCTGCTCATTCCGGACCAGGTAAAGTTCATTTTGAGGCGCCTCAAAATCCGTGTGTAGTGAGGTGCATTTTGAGGCGCCTCAAAAAGCAGCATATTGATGCTGCTCATTCCGGACCATGTAAAGTTCATTTTGAGGCGCCTCAAAATCCGTGTGTAGTGAGGTGCATTTTGAGGCGCCTCAAAAAGCAGCAATCCGATGCTGCTCATTCCGGACCATGTAAAGTTCATTTTGAGGCGCCTCAAAATCCGTGTGTAGTGAGGTGCATTTTGAGGCGCCTCAAAAATCAGCAATCCGATGCTGCTCATTCCGGACCATGTAAAGTTCATTTTGAGGCGCCTCAAAAAGCAGCAATCCGATGCTGCTCATTCCGGACCATGTAAAGTTCATTTTGAGGCGCCTCAAAAAGCAGCAATCCGATGCTGCTCATTCCGGACCATGTAAAGTTCATTTTGAGGCGCCTCAAAAAGCAGCAATCCGATGCTGCTCATTCCGGACCAGGTAAAGACTGGTGCTTGTGGCTCGCTCGCTGGGGGAGGTGGCTTGTGGGGGAAGGTGGCTTGTGGACAGGCGACTTGTGGGGGAGGTGCTTAGCAGAAATCCCATGCTGCTGTTTCCCGACCAGGTGAAGAACGGTGCTTGTGGTTTGTGGGGGAGGTGGCTTGTGGGGGAGTTGGTGTTGCTACGTAATAAGTGAACCTGGATGGGCAGGACACGAGAAACCACGAGCTGCGGCTCACTTCCTTCCACATCATCCAACATCACCCCACATCACCCCACATCACCCCACATCACCCCTGCTCACCCCACATCACCCCTGGTCACCCCACATCACCACACATCACCCCACGCACATCACCCCTCATCACCCCACATCACCCCACCCCGTTTCCATTCACTCCTACAGGACAATCTGGTGACGTTTGAGATCTCCCTGTGGCTCTGAACGGGCGGGACATGAGGAACTACGAGCTACAACCCCAGCTCACTCCCCTCAACATCACCCCATCCCCCCTTCCCCGCAACCCCCTTCACCACCTTCACTCCTGCAGGACAATCTGGTAATGTTTGAGATCGCTCTGTGCCAAGGACTAAATGGGCGGGACACGAGGAACTACGAGCTACAACCCCAGCTCACTCCCCTCACATCACCCCCACATCACTCCCTCACCCATCCTCCCCTCCGGTGCAGGATAACTTGGTAATGTTTGAGATCGCCCTCTGTCAGGCTCTCAATGGGAGGGACACGAGGAACCACGAGCTGCAGCTCAAGACGTGGGATGGCCGCCCCATGGACACTCTCCTGCACATCATCAGCAGGTGCAGTGCGGTGCAATGGAGTTGAGGCAGGGTACAGTGGGCTGCAAAGTGGTCCAGTGCGGTTCTGCGTTGTGATGTGAATGTGGTGGTTTAGAGTGCAATGCTGTCATCAACGCAATGCATTGCAGTGGATTGCGGTGGATTGCGGTGTATTGTGGTGCAGTGTGGTGGAGCAGAGTCTGTGCTGTGGTGTTGGAGGGCAGTGGAGAGGTGACCACGCGAGCCAACTTCCTTTCTTCCTCCCTCCCTACATCTGCCCGTAAATGCATTCCTATCCCCATAACAGGCGCTCCCCCACAGGCGAGCCGGTGGGAGCGACGTGCTTCATGCAAGATGTGGTAGAGAGGCGAGCAGCAGAGAATGCATCGGCTATGAAGATGGTGGCAGAGGCGGCCAGCCAGGCCAAGACCATGCAGCTGGCGTGCTTGTGCCACGAGGTATGCAGAGGGGTTGAGTGCGGTGAGGAGGTGTGGCATGTGGTAATAGTGGTTCATTGATGGATTGAGTGCGGTAAAGGCAGGTCAAAACTTGGGGGCTGGCGTGGGCAGCAGAGAATGCATCGGCAATGAAGATGGTGGCAGAGGCGGCGAGTCAGGCCAAAACCATGCAGCTGGCATGCTTGTGCCACGAGGTATGCAGAGGGGTTGAGTGCGGTGAGGAGGTGTGGCATGTGGTAATAGTGGTTCATTGATGGGTTGAGTGCGGTAAAGGCAGGTCAAAACTTGGGGGCTGACGTGGGCAGCAGAGAATGCATCGGCAATGAAGATGGTGGCAGAGGCGGCGAGTCAGGCCAAAACCATGCAGCTGGCATGCTTGTGCGCAGAGGGGTTGAGTGCGGTGAGGAGGTGTGCTGTGCGTTGAAATGAGGTGCTGGGTGTGTTGAGCGAATGCATCTGCAATGAAGATGGTGGCAGAGGCCGCAGCTGGCATGCCTGTCCCCCATGCAGCTGGCATGCCTGTCCCCCATGCAGCTGGCATGCCTGTCCCCCATGCAGCTGGCATGCCTGTCCCCCATGCAGCTGGCATGCCTGTCCCCCATGCAGCTGGCATGCCTGTCCCCCATGCAGCTGGCATGCCTGTCCCCCATGCAGCTGGCATGCCTGTCCCCCATGCAGCTGGCATGCCTGTCTCCCATGCAGCTGGCATGCCTGTCCCCCATGCAGCTGGCATGCCTGTCCCCCATGCAGCTGGCATGCCTGTCCCCCATGCAGCTGGCATGCCTTTCCCCCATGCAGCTGGCATGCCTTTCCCCCATGCAGCTGGCATGCCTTTCCCCCATGCAGCTGGCATGCCTGCCCCCCATGCATCCTTGCCCTCCACCCCCTTTCCCTTCCTGCATCCCCGCATGCACACCCCATGCATGCCACGCCTAATCTGTGACGCTACCCTACATCCCCCACATGTAATCCCCCACCGTCAGGTCCTCAACCCTCTGAACGGCATCCTCTCCTCCATCAGCTTCATGGAGGGCACAGAGATGTCGTCAGATCAGAGATATTCATCTGCTTCACCCCATTGGCCCTGTGCCCAGCGCCCCAATGCGTCTCTCTCCCCACCCAACCCACCCTTCCCTGCCTGCATCCCCTCCCCCCGCATCATCACCCCGCATCATCACCCCGCATCATCACCCCGCATCATCACCCCGCATCATCACCCCGCATCATCACCCCACATCATCACCCCCCATCATCACCCCGCATCATCACCCCGCATCATCACCCCGCATCATCACCCCGCATCATCACCCCGCATCATCACCTCGCATCATCACCCCGCATCATCACCCCGCATCATCACCCCACATCATCACCCCGCATCATCACCCCGCATCATCACCCCGCATCATCACCCCGCATCATCACCCCGCATCATCACCCCGCATCATCACCCCGCATCATCACCCCGCATCATCACCCCGCATCATCACCCCGCATCATCACCCCGCATCATCACCCCGCATCATCACCCCGCATCATCACCCCGCATCATCACCCCGCATCATCACCCCGCATCATCACCCCGCATCATCACCCCGCATCATCACCCCGCATCATCACCCCCATCATCACCCCGCATCATCACCCCGCATCATCACCCCGCATCATCACCCCGCATCATCACCCCGCATCATCACCCCCATCATCACCCCCATCAGATCCGCAACCCTCTGAACGGCATCCTCTCATCCATCAGCTTCATGGAGGGCACAGAGATGTCATCCGACCAGCGGGACCTGCTGCACGCCACCTCGGCGTGCGGGTACGTATGTGTGTCTTCTTTGTCCGTCCGCTCTTCTCTTGAGGCGTCTCAGTAAACAGCTTCATGGAGGGCACAGAGATGTCATCGGACCAGTGGGACCTGCTGCACGCCACCAGCGCATGCGGGTATGTACATGTGTCACTCTGCTCTGCCATCCAATCCAGCACCGTGATTCACCCCCTTTCACCGCTCTTCATCTGCCCTTACCCTTGTTCACCCCTGGTCACCCCTCCATATCGCCCTCAACAGCAAGTATCTACGGCGAGTGGTGGATAATGTGTTGGATCTGAGCAAACTCGAGGAGGGGAAGCTGGAGGTGGAGAGCCGGCTAGCACCATGAGGAGTCACCTGCTGACACTGTGATTCACCCCTTGTCACCCCTCTACATCCCTCCTCACCCCCCTGTCACTTTACAGCAAGTACCTGCGGAGGGTGGTGGACAATGTGTTGGATCTGAGCAAGCTCGAGAAGGGGAAGCTGGAGGTGGAGAGCCGGCTAGCACCGTGTTTCAGCTGCTGTCACCGTAATTCACCCCTTGTCACCCCTCTGCATCCCATATCACCATTGTGTACTGTTCTACCCACCAGGAAGTATCTGCGGAGGGTCGTGGACAATGTATTGGATCTGAGCAAGCTAGAGGAGGGCAAGCTGGAGGTGGAGAGTGAACCGTTTGAGCTCATTCACGTGGTGGACGCCGTGATTGCACAGGTGAGTCCCTCCCTCCCCACATTTTTTTGGTGGGTGGGTCGAATTTCACCTCTTTCCCTAGCTGTGTAACCCCCATCATGCAAGCTGGAGGTGGAGAGCGAGCCGTTTGAGCTCATCCACGTGGTTGACGCCGTGATTGCACAGGTGGTGGGATGGAGGGAGGCATGTGAATGCGGGAGACGACAAGGGTCTGCAGGTGTTCTTCTCGGTGAAGTTACAGTGTGCCAACTGTAACGGTCGGTGCTCCCTCCTCCCCCTGGCCTTCCCCCCTCCCCTCCCCCCTTCTCTCCCCAGGAACATGAGAATGCGGGCAACGACAAGGGCCTGCAGGTGTTTTGCTCGGTGAAGCCGCAGTGTGCCGATGTGATTGTAAAGGGCGACAAGCAGCGCGTGCAGCAGATCGTTGCAAACTTCCTGTCCCTTTCCCGCTACCCTCCACCTTCTCCTCCTCAACTCCCCTCCCTTCTCCCCTCCCGCTGTTCGCGCGTCCCCTGTTCTTCTCCCACCTTTCCGGCCCGTTTTACCCACGCCAGGAGCATGAGAATGCGGGTGACAAGGGCTTACAAGTCTTCTGCTCAGTTGAACCTCAATGCGCCGACGTGATTGTAAAGGGCGACAAGCACCGCGTGCAGCAGATTGTCGCAAACTTCTTCCGTAACGCAGTGGAGTACACCCAGCAAGGCTGGATCGAGGTGCAGCTCTATAAAGCATCCGGCGAAGTGGCTTCTAAGGAGTATGGAAGAGACGCGCTGGCCGGAAGGCTCGTGCCCGGCCAGCAGACTGGGCAGCGGACCGGGCAGGGCCGAAACGTTTCGGCTGACGGGGAGGAGATTTTTTCGTTCGTCTTTTGTGTGGCGGATTCAGGCCCGGGGTTGAGTGAGGAGCAGCGGCAGCATGTGTTTTCGGGCATGGATCCTAGCTTGGCACCAGCCATCTCCAGTGGTGCTTCTGACACTGAATCGCGGTGAGTAAGGCTGCTACTACTCCCGACGCTGGTGAGAGGTGGGTGCTGGGTTGTGAGCCTGAGCCTCATAGTAAGCCAGCAGGGTGGGGCCTGAGCCTCACAGTAAGCCAGAAGCTCGCCTCGCTGATGAACGGCACTCTCTCTTGCGACTCTGCCATTCCCCCCCCTCCAAATGCTCCTCCTTCCTTCTGTTGTGTGACTTTCCCTCCCCTTTTCCATCTGCCCCTCTTTCCCAGCAGCTCCTCTGCCCCAGCAGGATCAGGCCTGGGACTTATCGTAATTCAGAAGCTCGCCTCTCTCATGCACGGCACTCTCTCCTGCCACTCCGCCCCCTTCCAACGCCCCTCCTTCCATCTTTACATGCCCTGCCCCTGATCCCCTCTCTTCTCTCGCCCCTTTCCGCCCTCTTCCCAGCAGCTCCTCTGCCCCAGCGGGATCAGGCCTGGGGCTTATCGTAAGTCAGAAGCTCGCCTCACTCATGCACGGCACTCTCTCCTGCGACTCTACCCTCTCGCAAGGCTCCTCCTTCCGCCTCTCCCTCTCGCTCCCCTTCGCCGGCCGTTCCAATCACGCCGACCCTGCTGACGCTGGCGCTGACATGGCGGCGGGCCATGCCAGCCTGGCGCCAGGTGGCATGATGAGCTGTTACTTGAGCAACCGGGTGAAAGGGGTGGTGTATTCGTCGGTGGGGGTGTGGAGTAGTGCCGAGGAGATAGCAGCTGCACCAGTTGTACCTCCCTCTCTCTCCAGAAGCCTCCCTGCTTCTCTGTCTACCCCAACTGGCACGGCTGCTGGTGCTGCTGCTGCAGGGAGGGTGCAGACTGGACCAGGCTTATCTGGAGCAGGCTTATCTGGAGGAGCACATGTGACAGCTGGAATGGCAGGCATGACCCTTACTGGAGCACCCTCTCGTGGTCTTGCCCCTGGGGCTGCTGCTGGTGCCGCTGGTGCCACTGCTGGTGCCACTGCTGGTGCTGCTGGTGCAAATACCGCCAGTCCTTTCACCAGCACAACTACCTATGGCGATGACTCTCTCACAGCTGCTGCTGCTGCTGTCTCTGGGACCACCGGTTCTGCTTCATTTGCTTCTGCTGGTGCTCCTGCTGCTGCTGCTGCTGCGGCAGCTGCTGCTATTCCGAGTTATAATCATAACGGGGCGGTCACGGCACAAGTGGGCGGAGGAGCAGGAGGACATGGAGGAGGAAATGACAGTCGGGTGTTTTCGAGGTTGGAAAGCCATGGTTCGGAAGAGGGCTCGGCACATGCGGCAGCGGAGGATGCTGACGTGGACGCTGCTGCGCTGGCGGCAATCGTTGAGCTGGAGGCTGCATATGGTGGTCGGGTAATGGTGCAGGTGTTACGAGAGGTGGTGGATTTCCGGGAAGTTGCGGTCTTGGTGGAAGTGGGTGTGATGAAGGAAATGGGTGACAATGGAGGCATGGAAAATAAAGATGGGACTGCGGGAAGCAACGAGATGGCTATTGTGAGTACGCAGCAATGGGGCTCAGCGCTGAGACTTGGGCCATTGGCTGATGCGTTGCGCAGTGCAACGAAAGCGGCGGTTGTAGCGGCCAACCGGACGCTTATAGCAGCACAAGCTCGAGGCGGAGGAGTTCACGGGCATGTGGTGTGCTAAGGATTCTTTGCTATGTATCATGTATAGGGCTAGTAGTTGTTTCTCTAGTCGTATGATTGTTTTGTTCTTTTGTGCATGTAACTTAGCCCACTTTGTTTGGTTTTTGTTCTTATGAAGTCGTCTACTGACGCGTAATGTGACTTCGCGTTGACGTGTCATTTGACGCCTTGCCTTCTGCCACGTGTTCCTCAGACCCATCCATGGAACAGACAGTGTTAGTTCGTTCATCGTCCAGAGCGGTTCAGTAAGATTCAACACGGTAGAAAACTAGTCTCATGCCGTACTGCCTTTGACCGTATTGCAACGAACTAAACCGTGCTGGGGGAGACTTCCCCGAGCGTCGTGTCAACACCAATCAGATCAGCCCATACCCCCTCACTTCCACGCTCCTCCATTCCGCTTCCCGCCCCTGCCCCCTTCCTCCCATCTGGATTTCCGCCAGTAATTTTCCGCCCGTGCACATCTGGCCGCGCTTTCCCCCCATCTCCCTCGCAAGGCCGATTTCCCCGCAGGCCCGCCTGAAGGGTTTTGGCTCCTACGATTATTTCTACTTACCTAGTTATTTCTTCTCGGTTTCTGTTGCTTGTTCAGCGTCGTTCTGCCTGACGCACATTTTTTTCTCCGTACGATCCGCCGCATCCGTCGGGTCCAGGCTTCCGCCATGGCTGCCATGGCGACATTGCTTCCCGCTCTTAGCTCCGCCGCGGTTTCCGCCAGTTTCTCCACCGTCTCGTCGCGGAGCAAGAGCCTCGCATGTAAGTACCGTAGGTCTCAGGCCCGTTCACTAATATTTTCAGGCTTAGGCTCCCTGATTAGGGTTAGGGTCAAACTTAGTCTCAGGGGCTTTTGAACCTGAGAGTAGAGTATGTTTCCTTCATCACCTACGAGAAGCTACGGCTGGTCTGAGGGTTCGCTGCGTGTTGTAAGATTACCGACCTTTAGCATAACGTTCACGCGTGCAAGAAACTTCGCCAAAGAGTAGTGTGCGAATGGCATTATCTAGCATGCCCCTTGACCCTGGTAGAGCTTCTCCTAGGCAGCACAGGTTGCAAAAATGAGCCTGGACGGAACTGCTAGCTCTTTTGCAGCTCTTCGGAATGGCGGTGCAGGTGAAGGGGCAGACATTGAAGTGTGGGAGTAGAGAAGATAAAGCGGTGTAGCAATAGTAAATCGCGCTCGACCTGTGCGTGCTTAGTTCGAGTTGTGCGTGTTCAGCTCTCGCGTCGCGACTGCGTCGGAGACCTCTAGAAGAATCGTGTATTGAGCTGGACCTACTTAGCTCGTCCGCCTGGTTTTGAGACGTCTCAAAAGTCGTCTAGGGAATCGGGGCCTGTACTGAACCCACTTACCGGTGCCTCATCCGCCTGGTTCACTCATCTGTCTGGCTCATCCCGCGTACTTCATTTCACACCTCCATGTAACCCGCCCGGTCCCTTCATCGGACTTCGTCGATCTTTGTCAACCACCCGTATTGCTAGTCGGAATGCGCGAAGCACTCTTGAGTCGAAGTGACTCCATCACTCTGACTCATTCCGTCCCTCTGTCCTTCCGCCGTCCTCCACTGTCCCTCCTTTCCCTCCCTTCGCATCCCTCAGTCCTTTCTCTCTCTTCCCCCCCCCCCCTTGATATAACGCATTCTTCATGCGTCCCTTTCCCCCTCCCTCCCCTTTTAACCAAACACTTCAAGTCGTTTCACCTAACCCTGGTCTCCCAGTCTCGCATTCCCTACCTTCCGCATTCCGCATTCTCACCCTCCCTTCCGGCAATCCCAAGTGTCTCTGCGCTCCATTCGCCTCGCCCCAAGCCACTTGCCTCTATTCCGTCACCTTTCCCGTGCCCTTTTCCCTTCCCCGCTTCTTCCCCCAACTCCCCCCTCCCCCCCCCCGCTCTCTCCTCCCGCCATTCCCCCTCCCCTCTTTTCACCCACCCTGGCGAACCCCTCACTTTCTCCATGCGCTCTCTCCGCCTCGTTGTCCCCCAGGCCGCATGCTGCTGTGCCTTTACTTCCCCCTCACCTTGCCACTTTCCTTTCCCGTTCCTCATTCTCCTTCATCTCTCCCCCTCCTCCCCCCCGCACCCCCCCACCCCCCCCCCCCTCCTCTTTTCCCCCAGGCGAGCCCCTCACTTTCTCCATGCGCTCACTCCGCCTCGCCGTCCCCCAGGCCGCCGCCACCACCGCACCAGTGGTCGAGCTGGCAGCTGACGTGGCGGAGGCCACGTCAGCAGTGGAGGAGCTGCCGCTACAGTCAGCAGAGGACATCAAGGCGGCGCGGAAGGAGGAGCAGCGGCGCAAGCGATTGGTGCAGAAGAGGAAGCTGAGGAAGAAGGGCAGATGGCCGCCCTCCAAGATGAAGCAGCACCAGAATGTGTAACGCTGTTATGATGTAACAGAACGCTCGTATGATAACAGTTATAGATAATGGTGTAACCAAGATGTGCAAAAAGTGCTGCTTTGTGTGCAGATTGTTATACAGTACATGCTGCTGACGAACCAAATGCTTGAAGATACCGTATAAGGTGCTGCCTGGGTGCTGTAGAAGCGGATCTGACAAACCACATGCTCCGCACTTGCTGAGTGCTGCTGGCAACAGCAGAGAATATTGTACCATACGGCATGTTGCAGAAGAGGGACAAAGCTGAGAAAAAAAGGGCACAACAACATAGTAGTATAAGATGCATGCAACCCTGTGATGTGACACATGCAAGCAAATCATGTGACACCAAATTCAGTAAATGTAATAAATAGGCATGCAGTTGCAAAGCAATGCAAGGTACAGTAACATTCAGCATGTGCCTACATGGCATCAAGGCATGCCAGAGTTCAAGAGCACAACAACATTAACAACAATACCAATAATACCCACAGCTACACCCACCAACACCAGCAACCATGCCACCACTGTATCAGACACTGATACAGTCCCTCCCTTGGCCCTTAAAGCCACAAGCCCGGGGAAAACAAACCCTATAATAACCGCTGCGGTACAGCCCATAAACTGGAACACTATCCAGATATCCGGCACCAGCACCGCGCCACAGAAGGCTAAAACGAGGAGGAACACTGTAAGGAGTACGAAACGGACTTGACGCCAAAAACGCCGCCTTTTTGTTGCCTTTTCTTCTGCCCGTCGAAGCTCTTCAAGCCTTGCTTCCTCGTCCTCCTCTTCCTCTTCCCCTTCCTCCCCTTCCTCCTCGTCCTCCTCCGTCTCCTCCCCGTCCCTCTCTTCTCCCACCTCCTCATCTCCTACCTCCTCCGCTCCATCCTCATTCCCATCCACTTGAATATATTCCAGGGAATTTACCCTCGTCCTCTCCTTTGTCTGCCCGCTGCTGAAACCAGCTTCCCCATTTACAGCTTCAGATTTGCCATTGCTTGTGGTTCTTCCCTCGTCCCTCTCTCCTCTCCCTTTCCTTCCCAGACAAGCCGACAGCAGCGACGCCACAACCAGCCGCAGCTGAAACAGTGCCAGAGGCAGCGAAAGCACTCTGGAAATCGCATACCCCACCTTCACCCCCTGCCCCAGCGCAACCGCATGAGCCGCGATCACGGGGCTCATTCCTGGAACGACATCCAAGCTTGTGTCGAAATCGTAGAGCACGTCTGTGTGTACATCAGAGCCGAAGAGCACGAGGCCGAAAATGCCGACTGCGAGGTAGACGAGGGTGGTGATGATGACCGAGCAGCGCACGACCGTGCGCATGCGGGGGAGGGAGCGGTCCCTTAGCTCCCTGTAAATAGGGGTCACTGGTGGGATGGAATGGAAAGGTACAGTATAGATATTTGGCCATGGGAGGTAGACGAGGGTGGTGATGATGACCGAGCAGCGCATGCGCATGCAGGGGAGAGAGCGGTCCCTGAGTTCCCTGTAAAGCGGGGTCACTGGTAAGGTGGGGTGGAAAGGAACGGTAAAGTTTGACGGCTATGGGAGGTAGACGAGGGTGGTGATGATGACAGAGCAGCGCACGATGGTGCGCATTCGGGGGAGAGAGCGATCCCTCAACTCCCTGTATATAGGGGTCACTGGCAGAGAGGATGGAAAAAGGGATGTGGCGGGTGGGAAGGAGGAGCAAGATGAGGTGATGATGACAAATCAGCGGACGACGGTTCGCATGCGGGGGAGCGAGCGGAAATCATGAAGCATGGATGTGACTTATACAGTATACTTGCTAAAAAGAACTTAATGGGATCCATCTTGCTTGCTGTCGTTGAGACTAGAGAGGCGCACTCACCGTTGAAATGACATATGAAGATGTATGTGACGACGTTGATGACGCTGAAAACAGCAAGGGCGTGACCATCGTACCATGCTCTTTAAAGAAGAACTTGATACAATCCATCGTACCATTGAAATGGCAAATGAATGAGTTTGTGACGACGTTGATGATGCTGAAAACACCAAGGGCATAACCATTTACTTGTACTCTCTGAAGCAGAACTCGACAGAATCCATCGTTCTCACCATTGAAATGGCATATGAAGGCGTTGGTGACGACGTTGATGACGCTGAAAACGGCAAGGGCATTGCCAGACGTGGCAAAGAGAGGTGGCATGGTGGCAGCACCAGCTGCAATCTTCCCTCCAGACAGCAGCAGCACGAGCAGCACGAAGGCAATTGCCAGGGCCACTGATATCTTGCTCGCGACCTTCATGGACCCTGATTGATAGGAAGGAAATGAAGAGGAGCGAAAAGAGGGATCGAGAGGGAGGCGGAGAGGAACCAAACGATGGGAAGGGGGAGGGGGGTGGGGTGGGAGGGGGCTAAAAAGGAGTTGGAACGAAAAGAGGGATCAGGATAATGGGGGAGAGGAACCAAACAATGGGGACGGGGAGGGGGGGGGGGTGGGAGATGACTAACAAGGAGTTGTTTCTAAGACGTCTCAACAACCATATATTATTGAATGGAAAGGAAGAGAAAAGAAAAGAGGGATCGAGAGCGTGGCAGAGAGGACCCAAACGATGGGGAAGGGGAGGGAGGGCTAACAAGGGGTTGGGTTCAAGGAGCAAGACGGAGAGAGATTGTAGTAAAGCAATCATGAAACACGGAATATGGGACATGTCACACAACACGGAACATGAAACATGGATGGGATGTGACATTGCGACATTGGACGTCTATGTATCAACAATCAGTGTCAAGCACATTCTGAATGCAAGACTTACCGAGTCTGTCTTGTAGGCAGAGAGGCAGAATAAGGAGAATGACTATAGAGAGGATAGACTTTCTGGCCACGTCTGGGGACAAGTGCAGCTGATCCAGTGGCAGAACGCCAGGTCCTGTTGCGCTGCCTACAAGCACATCCCCTGCAGTCACACATGGGAAATGAACATGGAAGTAGGGAGGGAAAACGGGAAGTAGGAAGGGAAAACGGCAAGTAGAATACGAGAGTGTGTATTTTATCAAGGATAATAATTCACAACAGCATATGGATGCCTATGCAGCTTCGGCAGTAACATTGGTGACGTCCACAGGAAGGGCAGATGAGAATGTGTGGTACAAACAAGAGTCACAAAACCTTTATGAGAATTGTAGTGTAATCGATTGGAGTGAATGGAAGTTGTGAATGAGATATCAAACAACACTATTGGAAATTTTGTTTCAGTGCTCCAATTTACAATTAGCATTGGAACAAGGAGTGAAACCCTCACTCACCGATGATATCAAGGAACACCATCATGAGACCAAGGTTGTTGACGACAACGAACGACACCTTTTCTGATGCTCCTTAAAATGCTTAACACTCACCGATAATATCAAGGAACACCATCATGAGACCCAAATTGTTGACAAAAATCACCACCACTCACCGATAATATCAAGGAACACCATCATGTCATGAGGCCCAAATTGTTGACAACAATCACCACCACTCACCGATGATATCAAGGAACACCATCATGAGGCCCAAGTTGTTGACAACAATCGACACCTGCAGCACCAGCCGTCCTGCGCTTCCCAGAGCCGTAGCCACCGTGTGGTTATAACTCAGCTTCTCCTCATCCCACATGCCGAAACTGCGGCTGCCAAACACCTTTTAGGCCGCTAAAAGTGTGATACACTCACCAATAATATCAAGAAACACCATCATGAGGCCGAGGTTGTTGACAACAATGGACAACTGCAGCACCAGCCGTCCCGTGCTTCCCAGAGCCGTAGCCACAGTGTGGTTATAACTCAGCTTCTCCTCATCCCGCATACTGAAACTGCGGCTGCCAACACCGCTGAAATTCCCTCCATTGCTAGCGTTTGCTTTTCTTCCCAGCTCTCTGGGATTGCCGTCTCTGCCTCTTCCTGCTGCTCCCGCGGCGTCATTTGACGTGTCAGATTCCCGAAACCGCGAAGGGTCCTCAGAAGAGGATGGAGAAGCAGCAGCAGCGGCGACGGTACAGCGAACCATGGCCATGACGGATCCATAGGTTAATAACGCCACGAAGATAAGCGCTGCACTCCCGGTCACGACTCCTAGGACGTTCATAGCTGCAGGCAATGCCATCATGCCCGCGCCAATCATCGTGTTCGAGAGATTAAATATAGAACTCTTTAAGGACGTGGTTCCGTCCTCACGAGCTCGAGTAACCACGCGCGCTAGCGATGGAGGCGGAGGCTGGGACGGAAGGGGCGGCTCGGACGGCGGAGAGGGCGGCAGGGATGGCGGTTCCCTCTCAGGCAACCCATGAGTTGACTCAAACGACTCTTTTCCTTCTTCCTCGTCGGGCAGAAAAGGAACCTTTTCGTGAAGCGACGCGAGGGAGCCGAAAGGTGAGGGTGATCGCTGGACATGGGGCCGGCGACCGGGAGGAATCGCTCGATTTCCGGGAAAGGGGACTTGAGGGGGTCCTGTACGCCGAGCATGCTGATTACTGACGGTCGGAGCAGCACCAGGCCTAGACCCAGGTCTAGTTCCCCTTCCCGGGAGGACAATGTAGGGGTTGACTCCAGGAGCTCGGCCAGGAACAGGAACGGCTCCATCCTCGATATAATCGGACTCTCTGTCCGATGGTGGGAGGCCGGTGAGAGAAGATCCGATGGCAGTTTGCGGGGATGGTGACGGCGATGGCTGGCTAGGACGATAGGGAAGCCCGTAGAAGAAATCTAACGGGCTTCGGCCGCTTAGAAGGGGTTCGGTTATGGGTAAGGAACCGACTAGGTCTTCGAAAGAGTCACGGAACCGGCTGATGCCAGTGCGGTTGTTCGCCATTTCGGAGATTTGTTTTGCCTTTTTTATTGTTCAATAAAAAACAGAACGGCGAAGGTGGTCGGAAGAGAGTGAAGAAGACTCTCTTACAGTATTGTTAGGCAGCTCAATGGAGCCCCTGTAAACTGGAGCTACAGCTCTAGGAAGCCATAGCTCTAAAGAAGGGAAGCGAGCAGCATTGGGAGAATGCCATATTTGTGTGGAAGTGGAAGAACAATTGAAGAAGCATGTCCCATCCCGATGCAGTTGATCGGAGGGGGAATTTGGGGTAATTCTCGATGGATGGAAAACGGGCTTCTCTGTGGGGAGCACAAATATATATATACATGTTCAATTAGCTAACTTGCTGTGTAGGAGACATACCACGAGGAGCGCCATTCAGCGTTCTCAAATGGGTTGGGTATTGATCAATTTGGTTTCACTTCAACAGGGAAAACTCTTGGGGTGACTTCAGGAAAATAAATACACAACCCAACCACACAACGCCGTCAATTCGCCGCACCTGATAGCGTCCTCCTCCCTGATTGGTTCACGAATTGCTTTCGCACAACCATGTGGTGTTCTCGAGGCCGAAACTCTCAAGACATTCTGCTCTTCCCTACCCACAAGTTCAATCTGCTCTTCATTTCAACCAGATCCCCTCCAACAACCATCCATTCCACTTCTCTGCTTCCCTTTCCACACACTCGTTTTCCCCAACAAAGCAGCCAGCAACTATCGCTCCATTTTTGGCCAAGATGCCGAAGACATACACTTTGGTTAGAGATCATGTGAAGTCACAGCAGAGAACATCTCTTCTGTGTGGAGCGACGCTCGGCCTCCTTACAATCATTCTCCTGCTTGTTGGAGATGGAGCATTTGAATTCATAAATTCTCAGCCGATGGCTGCTGATACGTGCGCATGTGCAGATGCTACTAAGACACTTCGAATTCCAGTCGTTTACGAACGTAGTTCCAGATTGCTTGTGACAGTTCCGGCAGAGAGAAACGATGAAACGTCAGGAGATGACCCACTTCCACTATATCGACTGAGAGGCGTCACGACATTCCTGGACTTCATGCGGAGGCATTTTGGATCAGATCTTAGCAACGTTACGATGCTGGAGAACGGCAGTGATGTGACCGGGAGCGTTGGAAATGAGCTGGGAAAAGTGGTTGGCAAGTACGTTGGCGTTAACTGCCCTTTTGAAGGGGATGACACTTCGGCACTGAAAGTCAAGCGAAATAACACGATGTTTCTGAGCACCGACTGCAAGACTCTGCCGTTCCTGAACGACACATTTGACGTAGTCTTCAGCGACAACGTTCTGGAGCACGTTGCTGACTTGAAGATGTTTATCAGTGAGACGTTCCGCGTCCTAAAGCCTGGAGGGCTAGTTCTGTTTTTATGGGACCCTGTATGGACGGGACCCTTTGGCCACCACATACACGAAGACATGGTGCAACGACGAGCTACAAGGATGGATGCTTCTTTCAGGTATGTTTCTCACTGCTTTCTTTTCATTGCGTCTTCTTGAGCCAAGTTAACAGGTGACAAAACCTGCAGATATGTGAATAACGGATCCTTCATTCCTCCGTGGGGGCATCTTTTATTGTCCAAGCAACAGCTGAGGACGATCCTAATTGAACAAAACATGGGACCGGTTCCTCTAATAGATGGTATCCTGGAGTTCATTTACACCCAGAAGAACATCAACCGACTGCCCCTCAGCGAATTTTGGGAGAAACTTCATTCCTTCAGCTGGGTTCCGCTAGATGAGAGCAACCATTGTCAAGGCATTACAAGAACATGGACCAGCCTGGATGGCACTGAACAAGTGGTGCGACCATTACTGACACAAGACATGCTGCAAGCACTGAAGGACCAGTATCCTACAGAAGATCAATTTGACATCGGGCCATGCATATTTGCTGCGAGCAAATAGAAACCCGTTACTGGAAAATTGTTCATCGGTGCACTGCACGGTCTATTGAGGAATTGCGTCAGGACACACTTGATCCCACGGGTACGGGAACTTGAGAACAGCCTGCCTATGTGGGAGATCCCATGAGCTGTAGGCATATCTGCAAAACCACGAAATGCTTGTAGTATCACAGAAGTTGCACTCTGCAGAGACATGATTGGATCCTCAACTTACATGTGGATTGGAGGTTCTGATATGATGACTAGAAGCTGCAGCAAGTTGCAGGACTCTGAGCCACATTCAGGAGCGCTGTTCAGGATCTGCAGCACATATAGTCAAGAATAACTCTTGGAGTGATTCACAGATGGACGCATCTAGAAAGGATAAACAAAACAAGAGGCAAATACCTGATGGACTTGATTAGAAGGCACTATGAAGGTCATATTCGCACTGATGGGACTAGAAACAGGGAGACCTGGTATGCTTTGCTCCTTTTCCCTTTCTGGAGCCTGCATTGTGCCTTGTGCATCAAGATCAGGGACATTTGGAGCAAACAGCAGCTTCCCTGTACCATTAAGGACTACAAACAGCTCCTCACATCCATGTCTGTGAATGGGAGTTCCACTTCCGGGAGCAAAGGTCTGCATCCATACTTCAACCTGATAACAAATCACAGATTTTTTCATGAATATACCAGTGATGCCTACAACCATCGGAAGCGAGCCTATCCAAGTATATGCATACCTCTTGTGTACCATGGTGAACATGGCCCGCAATTGTAGCGTGAGACAACCCAGGGCGGCCAAAGTTTGACAACAGAATTGAATCGATGCTTCTCACAAAAGGAAGACCTGGAAAACAGACAGGGACGGCATGGTGTGTAACTACCAATCAAAACGGATGCTCAGGATTATGTTGAGCAGACAACATACGGAACTACACACGCACCTCACCTGCATGACTGCAGTTTGCCAGCTCAGGCTTTGCCGCAACCACGAGTACTAGAGCATATGCAGCACTGAAGATAGCACAGTGAAGAGAAAGAATGGCGCCTCTATGAAGCATGCTGACGATATCACCCAACATCTTCGAGCAGAGCATCTCATGGACACAACTATCGTCCGTATGGAGCAGTGAGGGAAGTCTAAAGCAGCTACCAAACCTACAGCCACGGAAACGAAATCACTATTTCCGTGCACCCTACTGTACCAATCTGACTAAACCCTGTCGTCCGAAGATAGCGTTCGGCCGGACGCCAACGACGCCGCTTCAGCCGCTGATTTCGCCTCCGCTCTCTGCTTCTCAACTGCCTGCTTCTCAAGATACAGCGATCCCAACACACCCACGAACGCAACCGTGCCGACCAACGCAACCGCCGCGTTCGGCTTTATGAAGAGCTCGGGGTTCAGCACGCGAAAGAGCCGAGTGGATCGCGGGCCCGGGAGAGGATTCTTCGGACCCGCAGGGCCTGCGGCTTCACTGGAGAAGAACGCTGCGGAAGACGTCGTGCCACCCGCACTGATACCCGCGCGACCTGGTGACCTAACTGGATTGAAAATGGTTTCCCGGATAAACCTGGGAACAGGGAAGCGAGTGGACATGGCAGTAGACAACCTGCAAGATCGCTCGGTAATAAATGCCTGCCTACTTTCTCTCGGAGGAAAATAGGAAGCTACGGAATATTGGCGAAACTACTGGCAGGTCTATGCCTGAAAATGTCCAAAGTGGCTCCACCTTTTTTGTTCCCTTTACCGCCCTGAACCGAATTCGACCGCATGTTCGTCTTGTGCTGTGTGTTCTTTCTTTCCCAGGCTACCCTTCAAGGTCATGTTCGTCCGGTACGTTGCGGTCCTAAGCGGTTAATTTTCGGCATTTTATCGCATATTTAGGGTGCGTCAGATCCGTTGTCGGAAAAATCCGGCCGGCCGGAATTAGCGAAAGTAGCAAGTTTGCGATACTCGCGCAAATTGTCGTCGAATTCGCTAGATCCGGCCATTTGTAAAAAAAAATGATGGCCGGTTCAGCATTCGACAAAGTTCCGACGTGCAGTCGACTCGAAAGTCGACCAATTTGTCGACCTGAGATCGCTACAGTCACTATACGACGTCGCCAGCTCGTGCGACGCAGCGTGTCACACAAGTACTGCATCTGCGACTCCGTCGCACAATCCGGCCACTCTAGCGAACTGAAAATCTGACACATTTGCAAAGCGGCCTGCAAATCGGCCACCAAATGTGTCATATTTTTCGGCCCTGTAAATGTGGCCGGATATTGGTCGCTTTTTATGTCGACCATGTTGTCGACTTTGGCGAAAGATACAGTCGACCAAATTGTCGACAAAATTCCAGCCAAATCACATTGTAGCGGATCTGACGCACCCTTATTCACTCAGCAAGTTAGCACTAGGAATCAACAAACGACGCAGACAAGGCCGCACCTTTCCAAGTCGCTTCGTCGTCTCCCAATATTCGCCTCCGTTTCCTCCTCTCAATCCGTTGCGCAAAGCAATAGATGGTTCCACTCTGCTCTCCCATACACGTTCTTAGAGGCAAACTCCTTGTCCGTACATAATCCATTACCGTCCAGTTCACACCGTTTGATATCCAGATATTTTCCCTTCTCTCGTCAACTCTCAACTACTACCTAGTTTTGCCATCTGCAAGCGTCGTTTTCCTGCTCGTTCCCCGTATTAATATTATCATTATATATTGTTAGCATCTACCTAATTTTCCGCACAAGAAGCTGACGACGACTCCGTGGAAATGGCAGCGACCACGCCAAAAAACTCGACAGAATGTGACGCTGCGGACGCCGCTAACGAGGGCAAAATTAATGTTCCAGAACCTGGAGCTTGTGATTTAGTACCCTCTAGTAATACAACGTCGGAATATGGTCCCTCAAGCAGCTTGCTGCAGCGATTCTCCACCAAGATAAGGAGCAAAGTGACAGGCATGGGTAGTATGATAAAGGAGCGTGGGAATGAGCGAAACAGCGGAGACGGCCGGCGGAAGAAGAAAGGAATGGCTGACGTGGCAGTTGTAGCAGAAGGAAAAGAAGGTGGAAGGGAAGTGTCCACAGAAAATGCAGCAGCGGAAGGATCAGAAGGAGCCGGAGGTGGAGGGGGAAGAGGAGCGGGAGGAGGGTCGGAATGTGGTGGACGAGAAGGAAAGGCCGAAGGGGACGTTGCTACATTGCAAAATAAATCCAATCCGGGTGCTGCTCCTGATTCGCTTTCAGGCGCTGACGTGGCACGGTCGGTCATTTCCTCACCCCAGGTCGACCCCCGAGCCAGAGCCCGCTTCCTCCGCCTCTTCCGCTTCCACCACTGGCTCTCCAGCCAATCACAGAGCTTGGGCGAATCCTCTGTGCTGACAGAGCAATCCAGCCAACCGTCCAGAGACCCTCAATCACGACTGCAGCTGCAGCAGTCAGCTCTTGAGGCGCCTCACATATCGCCTTCAGATCCTAGTTCATGCCAGCAACCAGCAGCGGGACTGTCACTTTATGCACCTGTTGCTCCTGAAGGCATGTCAGAGCTTGTGATTGTAACGAAACAGCCTCAGGCTTCAGCTCTCATGCCTTCGTTTGAGCAATTCTCCCATGGTGCCTATGCATCCCCATCACCTACGCAGTCCAGCACACCAAGTGCAGGAATAGCATACATTCCTTATAACGGAGCGCTGCCCTCTCCAGTTGCCTATAGCGGATCATTTCGCATCCCACCCAGTGCCCTGCTTCCTTATGCCCGTGGAGGGCCGTTGATATCCTCCCCTACCATATATACTTCCTCTCCTCCTCCTGGTGTTACCGTTGGTAACCTCTCTGCATCTGCCTCGACTCCCGGCGCTGTCTCTGCCGTTTCTTCTGCTACTCCTTGTGCATCATCCTATGATGCTTCCTCTGGAAGAGACTCGCTTAAAGAGTTACTGAATCAGGGCAAGATGCGCAGGCAAGATGCGTTGGACTTGCTTCGGATGTACCATGAAGCTGCGGCAGCTCCTGGCCCATGGGAGAATGAGCCCTTGCCTCCAGAACTGAGTGTTTTAGGTGCTGAGAGTGATAGAGGGGATGTTGTCGGTGTTGATTCGGATGATGGGAGTGGTGGGGTGTTGGAGCAGGAGAAGGCGGTGGAGAATAAGGAGGGGAAGAGAGATGCATTAGTGGGCACAGCAAGTAGGGACGAGAGTCGGGACAAGGAAGAGGAGGATAAGGGGGGGAACGCGGTCAGGGAGGTAAAGCAGGAGGTGAACGATGAGGATGGGCAGGAAATTGCGGACGATTGGTCAGATGGGGCGTTGGAGGAGGAACTGCAGGAGCTTCAGCTTGTGGCTGATCTACACTACCTACTCCAGCAGCAGCAGCAGCATGCAGGCAGCGAAAACAGGGCCAGCTATGACAACGGCAACGAGCTTCTGGTCACTGTTTCAGAGACAGCTTCTGTGGGTGGGGGATATGGGAAGGTGGGTTTTCAGGAGCCGCTACGGCCAGCATTCTATGATGCGGCAGAGGATGGAGAGGGTGGATATACGGAGCAGTTCGCTCAACTGAGGGTACATGCCGCTGCCAGCGTTGGGCGTGCTGCCAGTGTTGCCAGTGCTGCCACCTCTGCTCGTGCTGGCCGTGTCGCTAGTGCTGCTCGTACAACCAGCGTTGCTCGCGTTGGCAGCGGCGCTGCCAGTGCTGCCAGATTGCGGCCTGTGCTGCCCGCGGCAGCAGAGGATGGCGCTGGGTCTACAGAACAGCCTGTTCCATTACAGAATCATTCTTCTAGTGGTGCTGCCAGTGCTGTCACTTCTTCTACTGCTGCCAGCGCTTCCAATGCTGCCAGCGCTGTCAGCGTGAGGCCTGTGCTGCCAGCCTTATATGACGCAGCAGAGGACGGAATTGGGTTCACAGAACAGTTCGCTCAAATGAAATTGAAAGCGAAGGGACGACGGGAAGAGGAGTTCTCTAGTATTGCCACTGCTGTCACTTCTTCTACTGCTGTCACTGCTGCCACTGCTGCCACTGCAGCCACTGCTGTCACTGCTGCCACTGCTTCCTCTGCTTCCTCTCCTGCCACTGCTGCCACTTCTTCTACTGCTGCTACTGCTTTCAACGCTGCTGGTGCTGTTAGCATGAGGCCTGTGCTGCCAGCCTTGTACGACGCAGCAGATGATGGGATTGGGTTCACAGAACAGTTCGCTCAAATGAGAGTGAAAGTGAAGGGGAGGCGGGATGAGGAGTTTTGAGTCAACTCAGAGGTCGACTCACTATTCAGCATGAGGCCTGTGCTGCCAGCCTTGTACGACGCAGTAGAGGATGGGATTAGGTTCACGGAACAGTTCGCTCATATAAGACTGAAAGTAAAGGGGAGGGAAGAGTTTTTCTAGTGGACTCAAAGCTCCCTTCCCTGGTTGAATGCGAAGGGGAGGCTGGAGCAGGAGGGAGCGAAGGAGCTTGAGGTGTGTCAAAAAGAGGTGAAGAGCAGTTTTTTGAGTTATATGGGTGAGGAAAACAGTTACAGTAATGGTAAGCACAAGGATATGCAGTATGCCAGGATGCTAGTGGGTGAGAGGATGAAGGAGGGCGAGTGGTACGGTACACAAGAAAGAAGGGAGATGGAATAGCTAGGAGGGGGAACACGGGGAGCGAAGCAGGAGAGATGCGCGAGAAGAAGAGTTGGAAACAGAAAAATAACTGCCGAGGCTGACTAAATTTTTCATCTGATGTGATGCTCTTGAAAATTATGCGAGCAGCACTCAGCATGGTGCTGAGAAGAATGTAGTGGCTAGGATGAGTACAGAAATGCTGGGTTGTATATTGGAGATATACGAGTGTATTTCTGTGCTCTGGTGCTGGGATGTCTGTGTTGTTAAAATTTTCTCTATGGCCAGAAAACGATTGTTCATTTTTACCGAGTCTATGTCGTTTGTTACAATGACTTTAACAGCGTACACTTCACTGGCTGGTAAAAATGCAATCGCTTTTTTTAGCAAGACAAACTGTATCGAATCTGTCGCTTCGCTCAATCCTTGCACGTCACACTCACAGGTGGTCGCCTTTGTCGTTGTCGTCAGTCTAGCTGACGGCTGCTGTTGCTCGCCGTCGCACGAACTGGTGCTCGTGACCCTGGTTACACGGGCTTGCGAAACTGCTGACATTCGCGAAACGGTAAGCCAATCGGGCTCCTCCCTGCTTCTCAGCTTTATTCGAGGTTTCGCCAAGGTTCCGTATTTCCTGCAAAGAAAGTGCATTTCAAGACAAGCACAGTCCTCCCCCCACCTCATCAACATTCCGCATCCGCTCCTTTGTGATTCAGATGCTTAGGTAAACACCTTCTGTTTCAAGCTTCTCTGCGCAAATGTACTTGGATAAGCGTTCTAACCAGCTCCGTTGGCACGACAGCTGGATCACTATTGAGAGGGAACGACCAAGTCTTTTGACTCCCCCATTTCCCGCGTAAATTCCTTTTAGACGAGTCGCACCATCAACATTGGGTGGGAGAAGCGAGAACAAATAAACGAGGAGTTACTTGATCGGAAACATCGAGCCGCGCATTTCTCCCCACTCCCAACCAGCACCCAACCCCTAGCGCACCAAACTCAACCGTGGCGCAAAGCCTCTGCATTTGCGCACTGCGCTCACGCACGGGCAGACCACCACACGCGATGACGGCCTGGTGCGGGCAGCCGAAAGTCCAGGAGTCCCCTTTGGGTGACTGCCCTGCACAATTTCCTCGCCTGGCGATTCGCGTGTGCGGAGAGGTTCGCGGCGAGGGAGACCCCTTTCTCGGGGGTGGGGCAGCTGAAGCGGAAAACACAATGTGCGCAAGTGCGAAGCGAGGCGAGGCGACTCAATTTCGCGAACGCCGAAGCGATCACGGGGAGGGCGATCGACACGAACACCTGGCGCCGTCAAACATCAAAATCCGCATCTCAATTTCAGAATGTCCGCCTGTCCGTCAGCATCATATTACTCCCCCCTCCCCACACTCGACTCCCACAATTCACTCCTGCTATCCCTCTCTCGAACTTGAGCACTTGCCCACCAGTGCTTGTCAACAACAATCGCTATCCATTGACATAAAACAGCCGCGCGCCTTGCAGCATCGTCGTCCCCATTCGCATCTTCCTAATATTCCATTCACGTAGCACGCATAACACGCGCTCATGTTCAACCTTCATCGACGCAGTCCTTTGTGTTAACGAGCTAGCTCCTCACCTCCAAGGATTTGCTCGACTTTTCGTAGCCTTTTCCGCACCAGTGGAAGTATTAGCAACTATTAATAATTTGGAATAATGGGGAAAGGTGGTTCTCTCCCTCCTGCACTGATCGCACAGCCCAAGAGCTACTCGGGCCTTTCGACGCTCGAAATTGAGCCAGACACAACTGCCGAGCGGCCCCGGATACTCGGTATCCTCTCCAGCATCCTCGACCATGTGGTGTCACGTAACGAAGCGAAACAGGCGAAATCCGGTAACCGCAAGTTGACGGTTTTTCACGGGCTTCGCGCGCCGGCAATCACCGTGGAAAAGTACCTGGAGCGGATATTTAAGTACGCCAACTGCAGTCCGGCGTGCTTTGTCGTGGCGTATGCGTACATCGACCGTATCTTGCAAGAGCATGACGACATGGTGATCACGTCGCTGAATGTGCATCGCCTGCTCATCACCTGCATCATGGTCGCCGCGAAGTTTCTCGATGACTCGTAAGTGGTAACAACCGTCATGAACGATATTATTTCGCGCAAGTTGTCATTCGCGTCCGTCACCACATTCTTGTTCTTGTCCTCTCGGATACGCAGCCTCCGCATCTAGTGACCACAGTGTTATCTGATAACGTCATTCATAATACCTCGTGCTATTTTGCTCTGCTTCGCTAAAGCATTATCTTTCTCCACATTCTTTACACTCTCTCTTACAGGTACTTCAATAACGCGTACTACGCCAAGGTCGGAGGCGTTACTACAGCCGAGATGAACCGTTTGGAGATGGAGCTTCTATTTCGCATGGACTTCCGTTTGAACATTACAACGGACGTCTTTTACGCGTACTGCAAGCGGCTTGAAGCGGAGATTTGGAATTCGCGCCCACCTTTCGAGGCCACGTTGGACGTCAACTCGTTATCCATGCTGAAGCCGCCCGGCCACCTGGCACGCGTGCAGCCTTGCCACGTGGAGGTGCAAAAAGGCGTTCGGACACCCCCGCGAGAGGTGGAATCGTACCGGTATCCGTCAATGCGGGCGAGAACGCTCGTGAACGGGTCTCCTTGACGGTCGGCGTTAACGTTTTGACAGAACTGATATCGCTGACGGATGATGGCAGGTGGCGGCACAAGGGGATGGGCGCGTCAAGTGATTGCGCTCGTCCATACATATACGATCTTGACAAGATACACTTGCTCACTTACTATAGTCGAGTGCACTAATGAGTAGATTCCTTAAGACTTGTAGATGTGTAGGAATCCTCGTAAGGGGAGAGGAGCCTGTTGATGTTAGAAATCTAGAAGCTGGGGGAAAGCATATGATGTAACGTCGCATCATATTCGGCGCCATTCAGACACAGGAACACAATATGTGGCTGTCTGATTGGGATGCGTGTTATGTGCTGTGAAGCACGGAAGGGCTGGAGGACATAAGGCGACATCATGCGGCGTAGCCATGTCACACTTGAATTCGGAGAGACTCTCTCCTTGTGCTATATTTTCCCTTGGTTTGTGTAGACTAGCAATTGAAATCCAAATAGTATTACCACGCTTATTCCATAATGATGTCAAGAATTCTTCACGAATGCTTTCTTTCACTCCAGTTGCAACCTTAGCCATCACTGTCCAGGCAAATGTCCATGGTAGCCACTAACAAGGATTGTTGTCGTTACAAGAATAACAAATGGGGCAGCGCAGCTGGCTTCATCTAAAAAAACTACTTTGCTTCCTTCCGCTTCCATTCGTTGAACCAGACTAAATTGAGTTCCCTCTCAATAAATTTCATGCACCTGTGAAGGTAAACAAACATGGTTTCTGTGACTTGTGATCTCGCAACCTTGTATTGGTTTATGTACACTACAGTTATGCAGCTGCACTGGCTCGTTCTTGGGTTGTCGCTGTATGGAAAGTGACACATCGGCGTCGATGCGCAAACTTTTGGTCCTGCCTGTCGTTTTCCGCCACCGGCGGGCAAATGCTTCGCGGGCCTTTTCACACCACGTCCTCACATTTGCGTGTCCGTTGGCACAAATTGCTCCCCTGATTTCTGGCGCAAAGGTCATCCCTTGCTTTCGCCGTCATCGTTAGAATTGAGCTGTGGTCGCTGCTCAGCTCCTTCTATCGCAGGCTGTGCTCTAAAGGAGGGCAATGCGACTCGATTCGGGGTTGGGCGACAGCGAAACTCATGGTTCCTGCCACGTAGGCATGAAATGTTCCCCGAATGCATACGACAGAAGTCACTGCGTCTCATCATCGAGACGCTGTGGCGTGAAATGGATGGCTGGCGAACCCAACGGCACCCTGGTCAGGGTGCGCAGGGAACAGCTGGGCACGTTCCAGCCATGTCGCAGGCCAGCTGTTGCTGGGAAACCCGAAAACATCCCCCCCAAATGCGACTCGCCTACAGAGAGGGATGGAAATGTCTGCCAGCCTGTCACTTCCTTCTCTTTCCTTTCCAGCATCTGAAAGAAAGGAAGGGTACGCGCTGTGGGACCAGGAGGCCATGGTCAGCCAATCAGCGGTAGCTGTGTCCAAGGGACCAACCCGTGGTCGAGGCAGAGATTTTCGAAAGTGGGCACTGGCGGGTCGATTGACGGCAGCGCTTCGATCTCATCGCATCACACGCATGCGCCTCGTTTCATTTCACAATGTTGTCGCTGCGAGTTTTGATACTCTTAGTACCCCTCCCGCTCCCCTTCCGACCAATCAGCCCTCCATCATCGTGCACCCCCTGCGTTTCATCTCATCCTCCTCCTATCACCACGACACACACTGTACATAAAGCCTCCAGCTATGACACAAACCAGCCAATCAAACTTCTTAAGCCGTTTCATCTCTCCCCATTCGACACCTCGATTTTCCCAATCTCCAAAAGATCGTAATTTCATGCTAGGTTTCAGACCGTCGATCGTGAATCGATCCATTCGATGCATTCCACGTGGATAGCGGTAGCCCTCGTCTTTTGCCAATGTCAGACAGAGAGTTGTTGAGAGAGAGGCAGACTGTCCGCCAGGCGAGCCAGAGAATCAGAGCCCGAGAAGCAGCGAGCCAACCCCAGAGAGCCAGAGACCTGGAGGGGGCCAGCCAGAGAGGGAAGCGAGGCAGAGTCGCTTTGCCCGCTGTCGGCCATTTACGCGTTCATCCTCGCTCGAACAAAATATAAGCTTACCATTCATTCGTCCTAATCCTCATATTTCGCTCAGGTGTGCCTCTCGTTCTGCACGGGTCACCCCGAGCCCTTTCTCTCGTCGCCTTCCTGCTTCCGTTTCCTTAGTAACCTAATCGTCTGCCTCTTCGCTTGCCACTTCCTTACCTTCTCAGAGACCTCCGTCGCGTGCTGTGCGTGTCTTTCATTAGCATTCGTGTGCGAGCTCATATTCCAGCAATCGGCATTCGGTGCTACATTTCCTGCAAACTCAGCCATTCTTTGAATTTTAGTTGTGAATCCAAATCAGGCGCATTTCTTCCGCAAGGCAAACAGTCTTAAGTCAAAATGGGCAAGGGGGGTTCTCTGTCGTTCAGCGCACAGGCCAAGGCTGCTCCCAGCTGCCTCGCCACCTTAGAGCTCGATCCGAACTTGCTTTGCGAAAGGCCTCGCGTTCTTTCTGTCCTCGCGACGATCTACGACCAAATCGTGGAGCGGAACGAGGCCAATCAAGCCAAGGGCAGCGAAGAGAAGCTGACCGTTTTTCACGGGCTGCGCGCTCCGGCCATCGGAGTCGAAAAGTACATGGAGAGGATATTTAAATACGCCAATTGCAGCCCTGCGTGCTTCGTCCTGGCGTATATCTATGTGGAGAAGATGGTGGAGCGGCATGATGACATGGTGGTGACGTCACTCAATGTGCATCGCCTGCTCATCACATCCGTCATGGTCGCCGCGAAATTTCTCGATGACTCGTAAGTGCTACTGTGCAAACTTGCCAAATTAAGCTTCTCCCATTTTTGGTAGGATAACAGAAAACAACAATGGTGCAAGCAAAAAAGAGCCCAGTATCATGTTCAGCGATGATTGAAATGTCAATGTGGATCAAACTTCATGTTCTGGCCGTTCAGCCTAACAACGTGCACCCATGACACCTCATCTCACCAAGTTCTCCTATTTGTTTCCGTTTCATTTCCGTTCAGGTATTTCAACAACGCGTACTACGCCAAAGTCGGCGGAGTCACAACTGCCGAGATGAACCGTCTGGAGATGGAACTACTGTTCCGCCTGGACTTCCGCATGAACGTTACAACTGAAGCCTTCTATGCGTACTGCAAGAAGCTTGAAGCGGAGCTGTGGCAGTCAGAGGTTGCCTTCGACGCAGCTTCCCTCATTGACATGTCAGCACTCACAATGTTCAAGGGGCCCCAAGGCAATGTGGCTCGTACGCATCCGTACGAGTGTCAAGCAGCGTGCGAGAAGGGCGTACGGACACCGCCGCGGGAGGTGGAGTCGTACCGATGTCCAGCTGTAACGGCTAGGGTGTTGCCTGAGTCTCCTTGAGTGTTCACCGCTTCATCTGGCGAGTTCATCTGACGGTCACTGACACTGACTGTACTAACCTCCGAGCTTGGCTGACGCTTTGCTCTCTTGACCCTGTTTGCTTGCGTGTGTTTGTGCTCACTGCGTGAGTTGTCATTTATTTTGATAATATAGGCGGAGTTTGGTTAACCGTAGTTACTTGTAAGGCACTGATTCTAGTAACACGTGCCTGAGCGCATGTAGGGTTAGCACCAACAAATGTTCAGGTAAGGAGCAAAATGCAAATCATCATTACGAACATGCTTACCATTTTTCAGCTTGAACCTAGTATTGCAAGAATCATATGGTATCAATGTGCTATCTACTTAGCATGGTGTCTCTTCAATTGAAATGTTGAGCACTGCTAACATGTGATGCGCATGGATTTTTCCTATGGAGGTTTCTTGTGTGCAGAGTCAACTGCAACCATCAAAAACTGAAAACGTTTAGTGGTACAATGGAACACTGTACCCTTCTGGCGGTCCCATCAAAGGTGCTGATGTTCTGCTACTACCAGGCTATGCAAGGCTAGGTGTTAGTGCCTTCGGACGGTTTCCTCCAGACATGAAAATGTACGTATAGAAGGCCACCATGAACAAGCTGCACGAGGGAGCAATCACACAGCCAAAGAGAGTGGAACGCGTTGACAACAATATCGATAGCGGTAACAGCGACAGAAAGCAACTGCAAAGCGGCTGAAAATAACAGCAGAGTTAAACAAAAGCACCAACATGCACAGTGGAGGCGACTCAGCATGTCATACCTTGCAAGTGCAGCCAAGCCAGTTGGGAAGAGTGCCTTGGTCTGACAACATCAGCACACAGAAAGGAATGCGAACCAGCATGTGAGTCATTTTGGACGAATAATAGCAGGAACTGTTGAATAGAACTATTTGTCAGTAAACATGTACCACTGCCCAGACACAGGAGGCTGTCTTCCAGTTGCATGCGTAATCAAAATCAATAACGCAAAGAGAAAGAGCAGGGCACAAGAAAAAACAGCATCAAGAGCGTACCACAGCGAAGCGAGTTGCTTCATTGATGAACACAAAGCTTGACAGCACTGCAGGGGAAAGCACATCAAGGGGTAAAAAATGAACGAAATTGAGCTTTTATGCTCGTAGTGCCCTGTTCGCGCTGCAAGAGAAATGCCACACGACCAGACAAGCCTGAATGTCTCAAAATAATCTTGATAGAAATACGAATTACTCACCTCCTTGAATAGCAATGTACAGTGCGGAAGGACGGTGATTCTGCCAGGCATGGAGGCTGGAGATGCTACACGCGAGAATAATACCCCCAACGATCATGCCAAATCGAAGGGCGTTGACGCTCCCTGCCAGAGTGAACCAGGTCACCCCTCCGACCACCAGCAGGGCACCTGAAGACAAACAGCAAGGCAGTTTCATTGAGACATGACCCAAGTGACCTATACACAACAGTAACAAATAGCACAAGGACATGATACGCAATCAACAGCAAACAATCACAGCTCAGTGACTCAGGGTGGTGGAGGTTGAAACTGAGACCTACCATATGGGATTCCCAGACAGAAGTCATGAATCACAGCTCCTCTCCTGATAGCGTCCTTAGAATGTGATGACACGGCTGTCTCCACAATCTCCCTGATGGGTTCCGGAGCGTCTTTAGCAACTGCAACAATCTGATCCTTATTCTCCTCCACGTGATGCAGCGCTTCTTCTATCTGATGCGACGCTTTCTCCGCCTGCTCCTTAATCTGCACCTTTGCCTTCTCAGCTTGGACTTTAAGTTGCTCTGCCAGAATCTCGGCCTTATGCTTCACCTCTGATGCTGCTTGCTGGGTTTGCACCTGAAGCTCTTGCAGCTCATCGGGTGTTGGAAGCTTAACCTTGTCTTCAATGGCATGGGCAGCGTCTTCTAAGACGTGCGAAGCGCCTTCAGTAATCTTCTGGAATTTCTTGGACGCTTCAGATGCGATCTTCTGGAGCTCCTCCTTGACCTTGTTATCCTGAATGGAGGAGATTTGTTTAAAGAAGAAGGTTGAAAAGTCCCACTCTCGACGGTGAAATGAAAGGAAGAAGAAGCAGTTTTTTTATTCTATCAAAATACCACAAGAAGTAGTCAGAGGCAAAATGACTTTACCTCGGCTACAGCTCGAACGCCGTGCGACTTTCGAAGGCGCAGCGTTGGTCCAGCAGAGGAAAGAGACGAAAATGACTTCCCAAATAAACTTCCGTTCAAGCTGGTCGATAGTCTGCCGGCCTGACCGCCTGCCAAAGCCCCTGCCCTCAAACAAGCAGCCATGTTGGATATCGTCGCTAGCGGAAGTACTGGGAACAGCGAACGCGTAGACTATATTAACAACCACAGAAGCGAGGAGAAATTTCACTACACGATCTTTGAAAAACGTAATAACTTGGTGATTGCAAGATTCAAGAACCTGAGGTACCTGGGATGGTGAAACGACAAGCTAAGCTTGCGGATTTCAGTCGAAGAAACAAAATCAGTAGCAGATGCAGAAGTGAAGCACTAAACAGAGAATCCAGGAAGAAGCACGAAAAGTATGCATTTGATTCAGAGGTTCATACACTCACGAACAATAGCGAACTGTTACGTAGTTTGAGAGTGTCGAATATCTGCCGCCCTTTTGTTGAATGGACCCGCGAAACCTCGGCGAGGTAGAATCAGCTTCGCGAACAGCAGGCCCAGTTCTCAGGAAAAGAGGGTCCATGTAAGCAAAAGCGCCTGGTTAGAGGGGACATTTGTGGCTATCCCTTGTTTCATGGGGCACGCACCTCAGCCGAAGCACTGAAGGGAGCTCCCGGCCATATGTGATTGGCAGATGGACAAACCGAACCTGGCTTTGACTTCAGACCATTTGCTAGAGGATTCATTGCTGATGGGGTTGAGGTAGACGCACCACATTGCAAATCTCTAGAAAGTGGAATCTGTATACGCGTTGTAAACATTCACCAGCGAAGTTTGGAATCTCAACAAACAATTACCCAGTCTCTTCTGCCCAATCAGCAACCGGTGTACTTCCACTTGGTTCTTGTTGACGAGAATCCTCAACTGGTTTCGAGTCTCCTGATAATCCTTGCTCTTCAACTTCTTCTCGACCAATTAAAGAATGGACCGACGCAAGCTCTCGCACGATAGTTGGCTCCACTGCCATCTGGAGAAATACGCAAGCATCAAACAGAAACCACCACAACACAGACCACAAAGAAAATTGCATGAAGAGCAGTGAAGCGATGAAATGTTGCAATTTCTTCCCACCTCCATCATACGATCACCCGTTTCGCCTGTAGCCGACCGATTTTGTTTTGAGCTGCCTCAATGCCACACCATCCGCCAGGAAGCTCACCACCTCTCATCTCAACCTTCCAACCTCCACCGCATTCACATCCATCCCACCTCCCTCATGCAATCACCTGTTTTGCCTGCAACCGACCAAACTCTGCCTGGAGCTGTCTCAACGCCACACCATCCCCCTGCATCCGCACCACCTCTCCCCGCAACCTCCCAATCTCTGCCCGATCCTCCTCCCGAGCCGCTTTCACCTGCACCAGATCTGCCTGGGTCTGCTCTAGTGACACACGCAGCTGAGCCCGCTCCTGGGCCCACTGCTGCATGGCACTGGTTACCATTGCAAGGCTCTGCTGCACTGTTGCTGCTAGGCCTGCCATGGCGATTGCATCCACTGCTCCTGCTGCTGATACTGCCTCCTGTTGTTGCTGCTTCTGCTGCTCTTGCTCCCGCTGCTTCTGCTGAGCTTGTTGCTGCTGCTGCTGCTCCTGCTGCTGCTTCTGCTGTTGCTGCTGCTGCTGCTCCTGCTGCTGTTGCTGGAGCAGGTACTGCTCTTGTTGGTGATATGGATGCTGCATTTGCGGGTGCATCTGTGCTTGCATTGATGCCTGTGCCCACCATTCCTGCTGCTGCTGCTGCTGCTGCTGCTGCTGCTGCTGCTGCTGCTGCTGCTGCTGCTGCTGCTGCTGCTGCTGCTGCTGCTGCTGCTGCTGCTGCTGCTGCTGCTGCTGCTGCTGCTGCTGCTGCTCTTGCTGTTGCTGCTGTTGCTCTTGCTGCTGCTGCGGCTGCTGAGGGGGAGGAGCATAACCAGCACCCCTGCTCCAGCCATGGACATAGGCATGGGAATAGGCATAGACATTGGCATAGGCATGTGCATGTGCATGGGAATGGGCAAGGGCATGGGCATGGAATACGGAAAGGGGTAATTGCCAGGGGCACCAGGGTATTGGGTGGGGGGATACGCGAGGGCATAGTATGCCATTGGGGCTGTTGCTGCAGAGCTCTGTGTGTCTGGTGTTGCCGCTGGTAAGGATGGTGACGCTGGTGCTGCTGGTCCTGCTGCTGTTGGGGCCAGTGATGCTGCTGCTGGTGCTGGTGCTGCTGGTGCTGCTGTTGCTGCTGCTGGTGCTGGTGCTGGTGCTGGTGCTGCCGGTGCTGCTGTTGCTGCTGGTGCTGCTGCTGTTGGGGTTGGTGGTGTTGCTGCTGGTGCCAATGCTGGTGCTGCTGCCATTGCTGGTGATGTTGATGGGAGTGGTGCTGCTGCTGGTGCTGGCGGTACCATTGTTGCTGCTGCAGGCAATACAGCAGCTGTAGCTGCAGAAGTCACAAGTGCTGTTCCTTCTGACGTGGCTGTTGCATCTGTAGCCACATATTTCAGTCCTGGGTCCTCCTTTTTCGCCCCAGAAACATGTGCTGACTTAGCTGCTCTCTTATCCCCTTTCCCATTACTGGTAGCAGCACCAGCACTCCCACCATCACTACCACCGTTACTATCACCAACACCACTATCATCACCACTCGTATTATCACCACACTACCACTATACCCACTGTCACTGTTTTCATCATCACTATCATCTGCAGCTGCTGTTACTGGTGCTGGTGGTGTTGCTGTGGCTGCTGCTGCTGCTGTGGTTGCTGCTGCTGCTGCTGCTACTGCTGCTGATACTGCTGCTGAAACTGCTGCGCCTGATGATGATGCTGCTACTGCTGCTGGTATTGCAGACGTGGTTGAAACCTCAGGAAGCTTCGGGTCCTTGTCCATACCAGAATTACCACTGCCACTGGAGGGCAGCAGCCAGGCTCGGATAGCCGCCGAAGCTGGTGCCGAGCCTGTTTTCGGACGAGGCTTGGGAACGATCAAGTCATCGGGTTTACCTATGAGTTTCTCACCGACAGCCTTCTTAGAACCTTCCTTTCCCAGTGGGTCTTTGACAGGGGAAGATGTAACCGGGGCAGATGTAACCCAAGGCACAGCAGGGGCGTTGACTTTGGTTGACCCACTAGAACTAGGAGAAGATGAACCCAGGGCACAGAAGATGCGTTGACTTGGGTTGACTGCGCAGGACCCGGAACAGATGAAACCCAGGAGTCACGGGCTGGGGGGTTCCCGCCTGTTCTAGGCCCAACCCATGGCCCAGGCCCGTGTCCAGGTCTGGGGCGAGGTCCGGCACCAAACCCTGGGCTATTTTGTGGTCCAGGTTTGGAGGGAGGCTCGGAATTGGACCAAGATACAGGCCCAGGTTGAGGTTCGGGGCGGTTCCAAGCTCCAGATTTGGATGGGGGTCCGGAATTGGATGTGTAATTAGGTCCGGATGGCTTGGAAGGTCCGGCATGAGGTCCGGGATGAGGTCCAGGAGGAGGAGCGGAAGAATGCCAAGGTGGTTGGGAGGATGAAGCGGCAGAGGAGGATGAATTGGAGGATGAAGAGGAGGAGGGGCGGGGTAGGGGGAGGGGTTTGTGCGGCGAAGCAGCGGCAGGAGGAAGGGGATTCAGAGGCGGATGAGAGGGATGAGAGGGATGAGAGGGATGAGAGGGAAATCCAGTCGGTGGCTGAGTGAGAGCGGGTTTCCGAGACGAATCAAAAGATGGGCTGGGGCGGGATGGGCCAGCGGCAGGGGAGTGCTTGCAGTAGAGAGCGAGGAGCTTCTGGGTCTGCTGGTGGTCCAATTCGAAAAAGAAGTGCGTGGGGGAGTAGTAGTTGAGGGCTGGGCCGTAGGCGGTCTCGGGGAGAGGGGAGCACCTGTGGCGCAGACGAACCTTTACCTGAAAGGGAGGGAAAAGAGGGGGAAGGGAGCGGAAGGAAGACGGCTGAGTGAGTGGGTTTCTGAGACGAAGTAAAAGACGTGCTAGGGCGGGAGGGGCCAGCGGCAGGGGTGTGCTTGCAGTAGAGAGCGAGGAGCTTCTGGGTTTGCTGGTGGTCCAATTCGAAGAATAAGTGTGTGGGGGAGTAGTAGTTGGCTGATAGGGTCGGGCCGTAGGTGCTCTCAGGGACAGGGGAAAACTTGTGGTGCAGACGAACCTTCACCTGGGGGGAGGGGGAGGGGTAGGGGGGATGGGGAGGGGGAGGAGGGGACGAGGGCAAAAGAGGCCAAGGCCGAAGGGAGGAGGGGAAGGGAAAGCAGACGCAAGGTAAAGGGAAGAGAAGGTAGGTTGAAGCATGAAGCAGGTCTGTATGGGTCTGCTGGTGGTCTAATTTGAACATGAAGTGCGTGGAGGAGTAGTAGTTGGCTGATAGGGCCGGGCCGTACGTGGTCTCAGGGAGAGGGGAACACTTGTGGCGCAGACGGAACTTCACCTGGAGAGGGCAGTAGGGGTGGGAAGGCAGGCTAACTGTGAACCAGGTGGGTCTGCTGGTGGCCTAATTCGAACATGAAGTGCGTGACAGAGTAGTAGTTGGCTGATAGGGCCGGGCCGTAGGTGGTCTCAGGGAGAGGGGAACACTTGTGGCGCAGACGGAACTTCACCTGGAGAGGGGAGTAGGGGTGGGAAGGCAGGTTAACTGTGAACCAGGTGGGTCTGCTGGTGGCCTAATTCGAACATGAAGTGCGTGACAGAGTAGTAGTTGGCTGATAGGGCCGGGCCGTAGGTGGCCTCTGGGAGAGGGGAACAGTTGTGACGCAAACGAACCCGCACCTGGTCGGAAGGGGAGGAAAAGGGGATGGGAGAGGGAGGGGAAGAAGTAGGGCCAAAGAGGACAAGGCAGAAGGGAGGAGGGGAAGGGCGAACAGAGGCAAGGCCGAAGAGGGAACGCGGGTTGAATCTACTCCTTGCAAGCCCCTGGGCGGTGCAAGTAGTTAGAGAGAAAGGGAGGCATGCTGGGAGACGGAGTGTAGGGAGGAGAGACCAGGGAAGAGAGGCGGCCCCTTGGAGAGACAGCAGCGACGAGAGGCTTGCGATTTGCAAAGGGACCAGAGAATAGAAAGAAGGAAAGAGCAGGGAGGGTACCTACCTGGGCGGGGAAGCGTGTCTCGCCGCCATTCCTGCCCATCCAGCCATGAGGGTCGATCTCCAGATCTCCGTGGCCGACTGCCTCAAACACCCCGTGTAAGCGGCGATCCGAGTAGTTGAAGAGGAAGAGAGGCATGCCGGGAGGGAGAAAAAGAGGCTGGGGAAGAGAGGCCAGAAAAGAGAGGTGGGCCCTTGAGGAGGGAGACAACAGAGAAGAGATACCAGAAGAGAGCAAGAAGAGACCAGGGAAGGGAGACCAGCAGACAGAGAGTAACGAGGGTACCTGGGCGGGGAAGCGTGTCTCGCCGCCGTTCCTGGCCGTCCAGCCATGCGGGTCGATTTCCAAATCTCCATGGCTCACCGCCTCAAAGATTCCGTGCAGGCGGCGGTCCAAATAGTTGAAGAGGAAGCAGGCTTGCCGGGAGCGAGAGAGAGGCACGCAGGGAGATCAAGGAGAGGCCGGGAAAGTGAGGCCAGGGAAGAGAGGTAGACCCGTGGACAGGGAGACAGAAGGAAGAGAGACCAGCAGAGAGCAAGAAGGGTACCTACCTGGGTGGGGAAGCGTGTCTCGCCACCATTCCTGCCCGTCCACCCATGAGGGTCAATCTCCAAATCTCCATGGCTGACCGCCTCGAACACCCCATGCAGGCGGCGATCCGAGAAGTTGAAGAGGAAGAGAGGCATGCCGGGAGATACACCGGGGAGGGGACGGCAGGCAGACCTTTGGAGAAACAGCAGGGACGAGAGACTGGTAGAGAGAGGAGGAGGAAACTTGGGCAGGGAGTGGATGGAAAGAGCAGGGGGGTACCAACCTGGGCGGGGAAGCGTGTCTCGCCGCCATTCTTGCCCGTCCAGCCATGAGGGTCGATTTCCAAATCGCCATGGCTGACCGCCTCAAAGATCCCGTGTAAACGGCGGTCCGAGTAGTTAAAGAGGAAGAGAGGCAAGCCGGGAGCGAGACGGCAAGGAGGACAGCAGGGAAGAGAGACGGACCCATGGAGAGGGAGACAACAAAGAAGAGAAACCAGCACAGAGCAAGATAGGTACCTGGGCGGGGAAGCGTGTCTCGCCGCCATTCTTGCCCGTCCAGCCATGTGGGTCGATTTCCAAATCGCCATGGCTGACCGCCTCAAAGATCCCGTGTAAGCGGCGGTCCGAGTAGTTAAAGAGGAAGAGAGGCAAGCCGGGTTTGATGTTCTGAACGTACTCCATGTGGTTGTAGGGCAGGCCTGAGGGGGGAGAGTGGGAGGATGGGAGGGAAGGCGTGATGAGGGGAACGAGTAGAGGAAGAGAGGCATGCCGGGAGCAATGTTCTGAACGTACTCCATGTGGTTGTAAGGCAGGCCTGGCAAGGAGGCGAGGCAAGAGAGGGAGAAGCGAGGATACGTAAGCTCTTTTGATCGAATCAAAAGGAAGACAGGAATGCCAGGCGATGTTCTGAACGTACTCCATGTGGTTGTATGGCAGGCCTGTGAGGGGAGAGTGGGACGGTGGGAACAGGGAAAAGAGATTAATGACCGGACCGGAAGGTAATGCTTTTTACATCCTCTTTTGACAGTTGAGCGCCAATAAATCGTTATAAGAACGCTCACTGAAAAGTTCTTTTGTGACACATTCCGAGAAAGTCTCTTTGGTGCATCCGAACACGCAACCCCCCAGATGCTCCCGCGGCAACAGGCGGAACTGCACACGCTGATGGCCAAGTTTCTCTGGTACATACTCGCTATAAGAACACTCACCAAATAGCTCTTTTCTGATATATTCCGAGAAAGTCTCTTTGGTGCATCCGAACACGCAACCCCCCAGCTGCTCCCGCGGCAAACAGGCGGAACTGCACGCGCTGATGGCCAAGTTTCTCTGTTACATACTCGCTATAAGAACACTCACCAAATAGCTCTTTTCTGATACATTCCGAGAAAGTCTCCTTGGTGCATCCGAACACGCAACCCCCCAGCTGCTCCCGCGGCAACAGGCGGAACTGCACGCGCTGGCGCGACGAATCTCCCTTCTGGTTTGCCGTGTCATACTGATACGTCGTGGTCTTTCGGCCAGCACCCATCTTCCTCAGCTCAGCTTCTAAGGTCACATGCAATCATGTAATCTAGAGAGATAGCCGACAAGAGTCTTGCTAAATTAATATATGTTTCTGAGTCCAATCTCTCCGGCACTTCGAGAAACGTATTGTTCAATCGACCTGAACCTGTCGTTCAATAAAAAATAAGAATCCTTGATTCGTGACGACCAAACGCCAAAGCTTTGTTCTCGGGAACGTCACGCTAGAGTGCAGACGACACTCTATGACCAAGAAAAAAAGAATCGTGAAATGTAAATCTACGAGAATGTTCACGTATTTGTTTGAATTCGTGAATGCAACAGCAGTCCTTCGTTAAAACGTTAAAAAAAATTGCTTCGTCCCTGCTCGGCTGGTACGCGGTGGAAGCACGGAGCCGCTGGTAACACCCTGATTCTATACGCGCAATGTCAGTAAGCGATCCTGAAAATACGAGCGACGCCGAAGGAGGAACCGCGCGAGGTATATTTCAATAAGAGACGAGGAAATCAGCAGAAGGCATAGCCATGCGACCAGATTTCAAGAAGTGGGAGGAAACGAATGTGATGATGAAATCGGGAGGCATGAAGAGCTACACATGGGGGACGGAGAGATAGGACGTGCGGAAAATCCGGTAAAGAGTACAAACAGGCGGATTCAAGTTGGGAATGCCTACACTCAAGAAGATTCATTGTGTAACGGCAAGAAGATTCTGGTCCACTATCCTTCGCTATCCTGCTCTCTCTGCAGCGGACACCATTATGACTCAAATCATGATATGTTCGTCACAGAGCGGCAGAATAACATAGGGAAGTGGCACCTTACCTTGGGAAGGGTGCATAGGATCAATGGTAATTGCGATGATCTTTCGCATCCGTGTTTCGCACCTTCGGTTTTTTCCTTCATTCCGAATGCTAACGTTGGGGTCCACTGTCGCAGCTGCACCCTTGCGCACCTCTGCGCTGATCACGCCTATTCTCCAGGATCCGGAAATCGCTCTGATTTCCACGGGCTGCAACAGGGAGGAGTGGATATGTGTCAAATCATAATGTTCTGTAGACTGTAGTGGGGTAGCCTATATGGGGTACACATTTCTAGGGTTGCATATTTGTACCACATTCCATTCCTTAATGCATCATTCCCGTTTCAATTCTCACATGGTATCGAGCAGGTTCCCTCGTGGGAACTGTGCCTAGGGCCGACCAAGTCGAAAGTTTTTTTTTTTTTCCTGCCCGGAGCGCGCTCAGCCCGAGTCGCGCTCCCCTCTCTGACTTCGTCGAGCCGCCCTAGCGGCCAAGTCGCGCCGCCTTAGCGGCCCCTGATTCGTCGCCCTAGCGACCCCGTCGCCCTACCTAGGGCCCCGGCCCCGTCGCCCTACCTGCGCCTCGGCCCCGTCGCCCTACCTGCGCCCCGGCCCCCGTCGCCCTACCTGCGCCTCGGCCCCGTCGCCCTACCTGCGCCCCGGCCCCGTCGCCCCACCTGCGACCCTGGCCCCGTCGCCATACCTGCGACCCCGGCCCTAGCCCCGTCGCCCTACCTGCGCCCCGGCCCCGGCCCCGTCGCCCTGCTTGCGACCCTGGCCCCGTCGCCCCACCTCCGATCCCGGCCCCGTCGCCCTACCTGCGCCCCGGGCCCGGCCCCGTCGCCCTACCTGCGCCCCGGCCCCGGCCCCGTCGCCCTACCTGCGTACCGGCCCCGTCGCCCTACCTTCGACCCGGCCCCGTCGCCCTACCTACGGCCCCGCCCCGCCGCCCTACCTGCGGCCCAGCCGCCCTACCTGCGGCCCCGCCGCCCTGCCTGCGGCCCAGCCGCCCTACCTGCGGCCCACCCGCCCTACCTGCGGCCCCACCGCCCTCACCTGCGGTCCCCCGCCGCCCTTACCTGCGGTCCCCGCCGCCCTTACTTGCGGTCCCCGCCGCCCTCACTTGCGGCCCCCGCCGCCTTCCCTGCGGCCTCGTCATCTGCTGCAGCGCCGCCCGCCACCCGAGCCGCCCGAGCTGCCTCACCTAGCCGAGCAGCCGACCGCCGCGCCGCCGTACAGCAGCACAGCCGAGCCGCCCAGCAGCTGAGCAGCCGGACAGCCGAGCAGCCGAGCCGCCCTGCAAGCCGAGCCGCCCAGCAGCCGAGCAAGCCGAGCCGCCCAGCAGCCGAGCCGCCCTGCAGCCGAGCCGCCGTGCAGCCGAGCCACCGAGCCGCCGACGCGCCCTACCTCCGAGCCGCCCGAGCAGCCCCGTCCGGTAAGCACAGAGCCTCTGTCACTGCACTGCCCTTTCCCTACTGTGTGTGCTGCTAGTCTACTGCTGTCATGGCTGTCAGTAGAGCTACACTGTGAGATCCCCCGATCGATCCTAGGGGGGGTTACAGGCGCGTTTGCCTGGGGGGTTATGGGCGCACTGACCCGCTACTGAAACAAGCCCTTTATCCCAATGGTCTAGTGGTTGGGATTCTGACATGGTATCAGAGCGGTCTCGGGTTCGAATCCCGGTGTATGCACATGTTGGCCGTTGCCACTGTGCTCAGTCCTGGGCCTCCCAGTGTGGGGGGGTGTCAGTAGAGCTACACTGTGAGATCCCCGATCGATCCTAGGGGGGGTTACAGGCGCGTTTGCCTGGGGGGTTATGGGCGCACTGACCCGCTACTGAAACAAGCCCTTTTATCCCAATGGTCTAGTGTTGGGATTCTGACAATGGCTACCCCTAGTGTCCTCGCTTTTGACGCCGAGGGTCGAGCCATTGACTTTGACGTCTGGGTAGATGACCTGCAGCTGTTCTTACAGTGCGATAGGGCAGACGGTCTCTCCCTCTTTGACCTCACCTCTGGTTCCTCTCCTGCTCCTGCTGCTGATGTTGACGCCACTGTTCGCTCACAGTGGGCCACGCGCGATGCTGCTGCACGTCTTGCTGTGCGTCGCCACCTCCCTACCTCTGAGCGTGCGCACTTTAGTCAGTACAAGAGTGCTCAGACCTTGTACGACGCTGTAGTTGCACGCTACTCCTCCCCTGCCACTGCTGCACTGAGCCGTCTCATGCTACCGCACCCTCTTCCCTGACCTTGCTGCCTTTCCCACAGTCGCTGACCTCATTACGCACCTCCGCACTAGTGACACTCGCTACCGCGCTGCGCTTCCTGCTGACTTCTGCGCCAAGAACCCCCCCCCCCATGTACAATCACTCTCTACTTTCTAGTCACTCGCCTCCCTGACTCCCTTCGCGTAGTCAGGGACCACTTCCTCTCAGTCTGTCCCACCACTCTCAGTGTTGACCTCCTCGAGAAGTCCCTCCTAGCGGCCGAGAAGAGCATAGTCGCTGTAGGGGCCTCTCGTGGTGACCCGCGCACCCCCATCTTGAGGGGTGTTCTCCCTCCCCCCTTCTGCCCTCTGTTGCCTCTGCTGCGGCCGACCTCCTTGGTCTTGAGTCGGTCGGTGCGGCGTCTGCCCCTAGCGGGAGACGCCGCTCTGGCAAGGGCAAGGGGGGCAGGGGCACTGGAGGAGCGAGCGGGGGGCGGTGGAGGTGGAGGTGGACGGCGGCGGGGGGAGTGGGGGTGGCGGTGGGAGTGGAGGTGGGGGTGGAGGTGTCGGTGGCGGCAGTGGAGGCGGAGGCGGCGGCGGCGGTGGCGGTTGGGAGCGGAGGTGGCGGAGGTGGTGGCGGTGGAGGAGGCGGCGGAGGTGGCGGTAGTAGCGGAGGCGGCGGAGGCGGCGGAGGCGGCGGGGGTGGCGGTGGGAGCTGGTCGCGGGTCTACGCAGAGGAGTGGCTCCGGTGGTGGTCCGCGCCAGCAACTGCAGCGCGCGGTCGTGAGACCATGTCCCCTCAGCAGCTCCGTGAGTGGTACACTGCACGCCAGCGAGGTGGGGGCTTTGGTCCGTGCACCTACGTCCTGCGCACCGGCGACCGTGCGGGTGAGCAGTGTGGGGGTGCGCACCCCACCCAGCGCTGCTTTGGCCGCCTGACGGACGCGTGGCGTCACCAGTTCCCGGAGGCCACAGAGATCCCTCGCTAGGGCGAGCTGTCTAGGGCGGGAGTTGCCACCTATGATCTTGATTTTGATGCTATCCTTTCTGCCATGTATGCTGTGTCTATTAGTGATGAGGGTGACTGTTACCGGTGTTTCCCGCCCGACCCGGGCATTGAGACTGCTGCTCTAGGTACTGGTGAGGCTGCTGCTCCAGGTGCCAGTGAGGCTGCTGCTCTAGGTGCCAGTGCGTCTGCGTCCTCAGGTGCTGGTGAGTCTGCGCTCGCAGGTACAGCGTCGGCTTCGGCCTCCCTCACCTTCACACTTGACTCAGGGGCTTCTCGCTCCTTCTTTCGAGACCGCACCACACTCACGCCGCTTGGTCGGCCGTTGCAGTCTCCCTGGCAGACCCCTCAGGGGGTCCTGTCCTTTCTCACTTCTCCACTGTCCTCCCGTGTCCGGCGGCCCCCTCTGGCACCTTGTGTGAACTTTACCTCCCCTCGTTCTCTACGAACTTGGTGAGTGGTGCTGACCTACTGGATGCGGGGGTGGTTGTCCAGTTTACTCCTGCGAGTCAGACCCACTGCTCGGACGCTCGCACAGGCCGGCACCTGGCCACGTTTTCGCGTCGGCCGGGGTCGAGCCTGTACCCCCTGACCACTGAGTCTCCTCCTGCCCCTGCGTCTGGTCAGGTAGCTGCGTCGGGTCAGGTGGTTGCTGCAGCGTCCAGGTCTGGTCCTGAGTCTGCCCCCTGCTCGTGTTGCCTCCTATCTCACGAGACTCTCCTCTGGCACCACCGCCTTGGTCACCCCTCCCTGCCTCGTCTCCGAGGCATGGCCTCCCGTGTCCTTGTCTCTGGTCTTCCCCGGTCCCTCCCTCCCCTTCCTCTGGGCCTGGCCCCACCTGCGTCCCCTGTGTCGAGGGGCGGCTGCGGGCTGCCCCTCACTCCTCTCAGTTTCCCCTGACAGAGGCCCCGCTGCAGACGCTTCACATGGACGTGTGGGGCCCGGCCCGCGTCCGTGGACAGGGTCACGAGCGCTACTTCCTGCTGGTGGTTGACGACTACTCGCGTTACACCACAGTCTTCCCCTTGCGCAGCAAGGGTGATGTCACTGAGGTGTTGATCGACTGGATCCGCGCAGCTCGTCTCCTACTCAGGAGGAGTTTCGGCTCGGACTTTCCTGTTCTGCGTCTGCACTCTGACCGAGGCGGAGAGTTCTCCTCTGGCCTTCTGCGAGCCTACTGTCGTGCGCGAGGCATCCGCCAGACCTTTACGCTTCCGGACTCTCCACAGCAAAATGGGATTGGTGAGCGCCGCATTGGCATGGTCATGGACGTCGCCCGTACGTCCATGATGCATGCGGCTGCCCCCCATTTTCTGTGGCCGTTTGCGGTTCGTACGCGGCGCATCAGATCAACCTTCAGCCCAGGGTCTCCATGCCGGAGACCTCCCCAGCTTTGCTGTGGACGGGGAAGGTAGGCGATGCGTCTGCGTTCTGTGTCTGGGGATCTCGGGCGTTTGTCCACGACTTGTCTGCGGACAAGCTGTCCCCTCGTGCTGCTCCTTGCGTCTTCCTTGGCTTTCACCCTGACGCGCCAGGGTGGCAGTTCTACCACCCCACCTCTCATCGTGTTCTGTCCTCCCAGGACGTCACGTTTGACGAGTCGGTCCCCTACTACCGCCTCTTCCCCTACCGCACTCGTCCCCCCTCGCCACCGCTCTTCCTTGTGCCATGGTCCCCCCCCGGTAGACCCCTCCCCCTCAAGGTCTTGCCCCTTCAGGTGTGTCCCACGTAGACGCAGTCAGCCTGTCGAGGTTACTGGTGACTCGGGTGCTGCTGCGGGTGCTGAGCCTGGGGGTGCTGACTCTGGGGGTACTGAGCGTGTGTTTGCTACGCTTGGGGGTGCTGGGCCTTCGGGTGGTACTACTGGGGGTGCTGAGCCTGGGGGTGCTGAGACTGGGGGTGTTGGGCCTGGGGTGCTACGCCTGGGGGTGCTGAGCCTGGGGGTGCTATGCCTGGGGGTGGTGAGCCTGGGGGTGCCACGTCTGGAGCTGCTGAGCCTGAGGGTGCGGAGCCGGCGGCCGCTGGGCCTGCTTGTGTGGCGTCTGGCGGTGCTGGGCCTGGAGGTACTCCGGGTGCTTCGTCTCGGCGGGAGCCACTCTCTTCACAGGAGCTGCGCGAGTGGTTTGCCCGGCGCTTGAGGCGTTCTGCTGGAGCTGGTGCTTCTTCGGCTGCTGAGGGTGCTGGTGCCGCCGCTCCCGGAGGTGCTCGTACTGGGAGTGCTGGAGCTGCTGGGCCTGCGGGTACGACTGGAGCTGGAGCTACTGAGGGTGTTGGCGCTGAGGCTACTGCTGTCAGTCCTGGCGGCGGTCCTGCTGCGGGTGCTGCTGGTGCTGCTGGAGGTACTGCAGCTGGAGGTACTGTTGGCGCTGGTGCTGCCGCTAGGGGTGCTGGTGCTGTCCCTGCTGTGTCTGGAGTCGCCGCGCGGCCTTGGCCGTACTTCGTTCCGCTTCTTCAGCAGGTTCTTGGTCTCCCGCCTTCTACTAGTCCTCCTCCTCCTTAGAGTGTCCACCGCTTGACCCGTCACAGCTACAGTTACTGCCGGCCTCCCCAATGCCTGCTCCGCCTCCCTACACTGGTCCTACTGGAGGTCTTGCTGAGCGTCGTGAGCCTGCGTCTCGCCCTGCGTCGCCTGTCCGTGCTGCTCGCACTAGTGGTCGCGGTTCGCGTCAGCGTCCTCCTCCTGTCCCTGGCACGCACCGGATGTCTCTGCGTCCGTCCACTGCTCCTCTGCGTGCCCCTTTGGCCTTCTCCTCCTGAGTTTTCTCTTCCTGCTCTGGCCGACCCGGAGTCGGACTCTCTTCGTGCTGCCAGTGCCGTCCTACTGTCACGCGTCTCCTTGCAACTGTCGTCACTGACCCTTCTGTTGAGTCCACTGCTGCGTCTGCCTTAGTTGCTGAGCTCGTCGACTTTGCTGCTCGCTGTCGTCTAGACTACGCTGCTAGTCTTGTCGCTGAGTCTGAGTCTGTCCGTCCTCCGTCCGTCGGGGGTGAGTGTGCCCTTGGCACGGACGTCCTTGAGGACAGGCAGGAGGAGTTCCAGTGTCTGGCTGCTGCTTCACCTCATCTCGTGTCCGTACTGCTTACCCCTGAGGGAGACCCGGATGCACTTGACATCCCGACTCCGCGCTCTTACGCGGAGGCCGTAGAGGGTCCCTACTCCTCTCAGTGGCAGGCAGCTATGGATGCAGAGATGGCTTCGTGGAAGTCCACAGGCACCTACGTTGACGCGGTTCCCCCACCTGGGGCGAACATCGTCAGTGGCATGTGGATCTTCAGGGTGAAGCGGCCGCCAGGTTCTCCACCTGTCTTCAAGGCGCAGTACGTGGCTCGTGGCTTCAGTCGACGGCAGGGAGTTGACTACTTTCAGACCTTCTCTCCTCCCACCCGAAGATGACCACTCTTCGGGTGCTGCTGCACATAGCCGCTCAGCGCGACTACGAGCTTCACTCTTTTGACTTCAGCACTGCTTTCTTGCAGGGTTGCCTGCACGAGGAGATCTGGATGCGCCGCCCACCTGGCTTCACTGGGACTTTTCCTCCTGGCACCCAGTGGAGCCTCCGGCGGCCAGTCTACGGTCTCCGCCAGGCACG